GAATTGGGTAGGATTTTAAAATCTTTACAATCTTTACCTCGAATGTTGAACTTGATGTCAATGTCATTGACGCCTGGAACAAACCATCCTGACCATTTGCCATTAAACCACCGAATTTTGTAAGCTGCAATCCTGCCCTTTAGGTAGAACTGGTCGACATTTCGGTAGAGACCTGCATGCCATCCACATTCACTTGAATACGTTGCACTTCTTTCCTCTTCTACACATTTGGATTGCGTTGAAGTGTTGTATTTAACTCGATCACTGGCACTGGTAACAAGAAAGATACATGAAATAATAGCAATGTGTAAGTGCATCTTGATTCTTAGCTGCAAAGAGGATTCAAGCAGTTATTGATGCAATTTGCGATAAGCAGATTTGGATATAATATATACATTTTACACCACACCTGTCTCACGTACACATATTTCGATAGGCGCTTTTAAAACATCTGTTGTTTCTGGAAGGGACAGCACCAGATAATTATGAATCAATCTTAAAAATTTATAATTTGTTTATCTGTATGATATGGCAATTCTGTCCTTTCCTTCCGAAAATACCGTATATGGAAATTTTAGCGAGATGCAAATTTAGCGATTTCTACCTAAAATCTGGTATTTTAGTTTTAGCAGATGTTATTTTAGCGATTTTAAAATGCTTAACTAAAGAAGCTATTACAAGTAATGTGCAATTAATTTTTAGCGATTTTTAATTTTTGCGATGTCAACACCCTCGCTAATAATGCCAAAATTAAATCCTCGCTAAGAATAATAATAATAAACTTAATAATAATTTAATAAACTTCTGTTGTTCATATTTGCGATTTTAGAATTATTTATAAGCTTAGATTGAAGCAAAAGTACATTATTGTCGTCCTGTACAATAATGAACTTTTCAATATAAAACTGTATATTGGATTGTAAATAGAAGTCTTTTTTCTGTTTTATTTTAATTGTATTGATCATAAAGGTTTAAGTTACTAGTACATAGAACTTTATCATAATAACACATGTTAACATCCAATTTTTTTTTCTTCAAAAATGCAGCTCATATTGCTTTAACAAATTTACAATCGGTCCGAATAATAATGATTTCCAATCTTTATATTTCAAATAAAGTGTGTTTTGCCTCATCGGCCTGTGCCTTTGTTAAATGGTTTTGTTTGTGGTTCTGGTACATTTCCACTTTCCAGTCTCATCCTTAGTAAATTAGTTTTTAAAAATTGTTGCATATATCATTAGCCGTTCAATAGAAAAGTTGATATTATGTGAAAACCTAAATACTATTTTTGAAAAAAAGGTATACAGTGGAGCCTCATTTATCCGGACGCTTTGGTTCTTAAGCAAATTGTCCGGATAAATGAAGCGTCCGGATATCTGAATTCAATTGATTTCTCTTCCAGGTATACTGTATTTGTATTGTAACTCTTATATATATAAAGATAAATACTATCGTATAGAAATAATAATTTACTATTTTAAAATGGTGATTTTCTCCTCGTCAATAACAAACTGCCTTAAATCTTGCAATGAAGAACGTGGAAGATCTACTTTGCGTTGGCAGATTTTTTTCTTTAAGCTGGCGGAAATGCCGACTCGCGCTCTCTTTGCCGGCGGTGTAGACAAGGTTGTAGCTGGAGAGCAGAATGACAAACATTGGATATAAGTTAACGCTGCTTATATGGGCAGATTTTTAATTACCAAGCTTATTTTTACTTTCTACTTCCTACAAATTGATGAACATAGCCAAGCAAATTCTCTCTTTTGCAGCTTTGATTACACCCAAGCGAGCCGTCAATATCGAGTTCGAGTCTAATTTTAATTTGAATAGTTACTCATCCACGCTAAATTGACATATTAAAAATTCACGCAGTAATCTTCCCAAGCAAAATCATTGATTGTTTAAAATTATTCAATTTGATTGAATGTTTTAGGTTTTGTTTTTTATTTTTTGATGATAACTGCCCACCAATCTACAGATGAAAATTACACAATTTGCACATGTGTAGACAACGAGATTATGAAACTACATGTATGTCGTCCCGTCTATAAATAGAAAAATATTTAAAACCAGCTCTGTACTAAAATTATAAATATCTCGCAGATAACAAATAACTGAATAGAAAATTGTTTTCTTTTACCGACACAGTTGATTGTTTATTTTCATTTGTGTTTCGATCTCTCGTATATTATGACCATATCCACTTAGCATGCTTAATCTGTGGACTAATTATCGTAAGTCATTCATAACAGGTCACAGGTGATCGTCTTGTAAAAACAATCAATCCAGCCAGTGTTTTGATAACATTTGTCACTCAGTTCAGGCGTGAATGTTGACAAGAGTGGAAGTACAAATTAAAATTTACCGTCCGGATAAATGAACCAAATTATAACGTAAAAATACATTTTGTAGTAAAAAAGAGCCGTCCGGATACGGAACGCGGAATTCCGGATAAATGAGTCAAAATTACGTTAAAAAAATCCATTCCCGAGAAAAATCGTCCGGAAGGTGAAGCGTCTGGATATCTGGCGTCCGGATATCTGAAGGTCCAATGTATTCTGAAAAGACGCTTCAATTTGTGAAATTGCATGGATTGTTCATCACATACACTAACAGATAAACAAAAATTCAACTTAAAAAAATGTAAAACCTTATAGTGTAAGTAAGCAAGCAACCCCCCTCTCCCTGCAATATAAATTTATTTGTTTTTACAAGAGAATATTCACACCCTTTGGATTTCTTTAAATCATAAATTATAGAATGATCATAACGAAATAAAAATTGATGCTGAACGTTTCCTTTCAACTTTAATTGCGTCTGATAATATAACCCCTAATGTGCTATTTGTTCACTGAATGAAAAAAACCCATTTGAAACATGTGCATATGATGCATTAAAATTATATATTATTTGACAAGTTACAAATACCAATTCAAACGGATGTAAAACGAAACGGACATAATCTTTAGTATTATGCATTACCATGCCATTGATTGATCTCGGCATATTTTGATATTATGAAATCATTTCTGAAAAATATAGAACTGGTAATTATTTTGAACAACCTATATTAAGATTGTAAACAGGCTACAATAGACAGTGAGCCAAACACGACGTTTTTATGAATCAAATAACAGTCTTTAGAAACATAGATTTCTTTTGAAATTTATTAGATTACAAAAAATAGGGGAAAAAAGGTGACTCGACTGAAGATTTAAAACCAAAAAATAGAAAGGGGGATCCATACTCCATACTGCTCTCTGTTTATGTATCAGTCGAAAACGATAAACAGATTAAAGTGACACATTACTGATAACATATAGTGTTTATCAAAATACAAAAAAAGGAAAAAAGTGACTCGACTCCAGATTTAAAAAGAAACTAAAAGTACTTTGAGCAACGAGTTCACTAAATGAGACCCCCATCTCCCATGTGGTAATAATGCAAAGTCCATGTTTTAAGCTGGGATATCCAAAATGAGTATCAGATCAAAAATTAAAATAAGAGGTGCACAGTGGAATAATGCAATAAAGAATCTGTGAAAGTATCATTGAATTTTATTCAGTGTTATAGGAAGAATTGTGATAATGTTATATCAACTAGAACTTAAGAAATGATGAATTAAAACGCGATTGTTGATATTCCTTTTACATTACCTTGTTTGTCAATAGCTTGACCCGTTTTACAAATTGTTCCTACACGAAGCATGCTCTTTTGTATTGAATCAGCTGAGAGGCATTAACCCCATATGTAGGTGATAAAGATATATCTGACTACATAAGTAGTCTAAAAACGAGACGATGAAGCTCATCTTCACTAGCCAAGAGTTTCCGCTACTCGCCTCATAAACCCTTGGCATACGGTGCTGTGAAAAGACGGGATTGTTTTCCTCACGTGGTCACGTGATCTCGAATTTTGAACAGGTACGTACATATTGCGTCATCAATAGAAATAGTATTTAAATCATGAATGTTTTAAAAGAATAATTTACAAGAAGGTATTGATTTTTTATTTGTTATTTAATACGCATAACTACATCTTCAATACAGATTCTAATTCATATTTTGCACATTTCTTATGATTTTTTGAATTTCAATTTCAAAATACTTGTATGTACATCCGAAATGTTTAACAAAATAATTTTGCAAATCACCAATTACAAGTCCAATAATTCCTCGAGTTCCATTTTTATTGAAAAAAAGCACCTAACAATGATGTTAAAAGGTTTGGACTTAAATTTATCACAGGGATTGGTTGTTTATAAAGTTGAAAAGTCATAAGTTTTCATGACGTGACTTGTAAAAAGTTGTGATTATAATTTTACCAAAAGTTCCAAGTATTTTTAAGTATCCCCATTTAATTTAAACCTCTTTTCAAATATATTGTTGTACAGTACTCCTGAAGTTTCTATTTTTTCTGCTGTTAATATTTAAATGAGCTGTAAAAAAGAAGCTTGGTAGAACATAACCTTGAACTCGATGTTTATCTTTGTAAGAATTTTATACATGATAGTATTTAGGTATCCGTTAAAAGTATGACAATTCAAAGTTAACTTTATTGTTGGAAAAATAAAAAATTGTCTAACTGCCATATGTTTTTGAAGAATATCATCCTTAGAAACGTGACTCTCAGTTGGATTATCACCTGCAAAATTAAATCAGTTTCTCTAAAATACAAAATTAAATTTAAATGTCTTTAAAACAAAGACAATGTTATTACATGTATCTTCTTTGTCATCTGCGATTAGTGATGTTGATCTTTAATCGGTGATAGCAACAGAGAGCACAACAAACTCTCCCAAAGAAAATCAGGGGATAAAGCGAGTGTATGTAGTACCATCATCCACAAAACCGGTTTGTTAGAATCAGTCTTTTAAAATGTTTTCCAAAAATAGAAGAGGGACGAATATACATGTAAATCCTTTAACAGGTCATATCAATTTTGGAAAATTGTTTTATTGCATTTACTATTACGATATAAGGAGAGAAAAAAACCTTATTTGTTTTCAACATCATACTTATATGTAATACCGTATAGCGGGTGTAAAATTTGTTGTTTTGCTTGCTCAAAAGTATGCAAATAATTTTGGCGGACATTGTATTGGCGGACACAGTTTTTGTGACATTGCAAAAAAGAGGAAACTCATCTCTTAGATATGGTATATATGTTTAAAAATCGATTTACACAAAAGTTTGAATCATACTATTTTGTAATGAATGAATAAAAAACAAACCACGAACTATCTAAAGACATAATTTTTATGCTCAATTTCGGACATAAATTTTTGAATTCAAATAAACTTGCTTTGCTTCGGGTCAATCTTCGGATGTTGCGGCAACAGTTAAGAGTCTTTACAGATGACATACTTGTGGGTGTGATCGTAGAAATAAGACCACCATCTCCTCATGGTATTGGGTAGGATTTTAAAATCTTTACAATCTGCACCTTGAATGTTAAATTTGATGTCAATGTCATTGACGCCTGGAACAAACCATCCTGACCACCCGCCATTAAACCACTGGATTTTGTAAGCTGCGATCCTGCCCTTTAAATAGAACTGATCAACGTCTCGGTACAGGCCTGCGTACCATCCACATTCTTTTCCATATACCGCTTTTCTTTCCACTTCTTTACATTTGGGTTGTGTTGAGGTGTTGTATATAACTAGATCAATCGCATTGGTAACAAGGAAGCTACATAAAAAAAAACAACAAAGTGTAAGTATATCTTGATCATTTTCAGCAGTAAACAAAAATTCAAACAGTTATTGGTGCAATTTGCGATAAGCAGATTTGGATATAATATATACAATGTATACATTTTACACCAGGCCTGTCTCACGACACATATTTCGATAGGCGCTTTAAAACATCCGTTGTTTCTGGAAGGGACAGGACCAGATAATTGTGAATCAATCATGAAAATTTGTAATCTACATATTTTCTGTACGATATGTCGATTTTCAATGTTATATATTCACGTTCTGTCCACTGAGATTGGCATTTAATAAATCACAAAAGACACGTCAATGGGAAGGGTAAGATGAACTTAAGCCCCTTAGTCTAAAAGATATGACCCAGCTACGAATGTTCTGGAAACGCAATACAAAAGACTGGTATATTACTAGTATTACTAGTACTCCTTAATGCTTAGAGGATCAGGTTTGATAACGTGATGTAATCATAATAGGAGCATTGCTATATCATTACGTTTCTGTTGCTGCAAATTGGGAATATTATTGTTAAAAAACACCAATTTGTACTTTTTAGTCCATTTTAAGTTTAAATTTGGGCGAGGTAACTTTATTTTGTTATGACAAACTTATCTTGGAAATTAATTTAATTTACCTAGATTGTTATGTATTCGACGTAAGCAACACAGGCTATATAAATTAAACGTTTAAAACAATCAAATGACGTGTTACAACCGAAATCAAATTTTAAATTTTCATTAAAATAAAGAGGACAAATACCATTCATTCTACTGTATGAAAATATTTAAAAAATAGCATATTCAGTTTCCATTTATTAACAAATTTACAATCGGGCTGAATAATAGATAATGATGTCAAATCTTTATAGTTCAAATTAAGTGTCTTTTGCCTTATCTGCCTTTGAGTGGGCTGCATTTCACTTCCAGAATTTTTTTGTGATTATTTACTTTTCATTTCCGACATTTTTTTAGTTTTCATTTCCGACATTTTTCAGTACCTTTAGTAGCAGATATGAAGATTTACCTATGAAAAATTTAACGTTTAGAGCAGTGAGCAGTATAATGCGTTATCAACAGGAGGAAAAACTCGATTAAAGTACTGCAATCGTCTAGGACATAAGTTTGGTGCTGTCAATTGACATTTAATTCAATGCACATTAAATGAGGCAAAAATGTTGTTTTTTTGTCCTCGTCTCATAGAATGTTTTGTACAGCCTAGACTTAGTGCTATATAAACTTTAAGGCATATCTGTATAATAGATAGATTTTTATATTTTGTATTAATATTCTGCAATGGATACTTTTAAAAATCAATTTTCACTTACTTTGAAAACATTAAGTTGCACAGGTAAATTCCAGAAATAAAAAAGAAATTATGTCGGATGAAAAACAATAAATGTCGGGGAAAAAATCTAAATCCTTTTAGTAAAGGTAAACGAGGAATCTTTCCGTAATATAAGATTTAATTGTTTTAATTATATAATTTGTATTTTTTTTAAATCATAAATAACCAAAAAATCTATAGGAAAAAAAATTGATGCTGCCTATTTACTCTCGAATCTTATTGTATCTGATGATATAATCCCTAATGTGCTAATTGTTAACTGAATGATTGCATTGATTGATTGTATGTTGTCCCTCTCGAGAATTGTTCACTTATAGAGAGGCGCCACCACTTGCCGGTGGAGAGCTACAAATTGTATCCTATATTCGGCACTTAGGGCCTTTGAGCAGTGAGGAATTTTTTCGTGTCAGTACTACTGCGACACGGGACCTCGGTTTATACGATCTCATCCGAAGGACCGGTCTCCACGCCGCACACTGGGATTCGAACCCGCGCCGTAAGGATCGACTCCTTTCTTCGCGACTCTAGAGCAGACGCTCTAACCACTGCGCCATGCAAGCGACGTTAACTGAATGAAACATGATGTATTAAAAATGAATATTATTATACAAGTTACAAATACCAATTCGAACGGATGCAAGCTGTAGCATAATGCATAACTATGCCATTGATTGATATCGGCCGCATACATGTATTTTGACGTCACCTGAATTGTGTATCTTAATTATATACATTGATTATCAATAGTTATTAAGATAAATTAATAAAGAAAATATGTATGCCAAGAATAGTTATTTCAGTAGCAGACTAGCAGTGTCATTTGCACTGCAATAAAGAATACATTTGTTGAAAAATCAGAGACTGTTAGGCGTTTCAAATGAGCAGGGAAAATGATCTGCAATGGATTACGGAATATCAAGCCAGCACAAATGATCCCCTCCCCTTTTTACTGATTTATAAATAAAGATTGGCAATTTCCAAAAGCTGTGACCTCTAAATTCAAACAAAAACTTTAGAGGGTACAGTTACGAAATTACATACTAGTACATGTAATTCGTATATGAAGAAATTCAGAATTAAGATATACCTACCAAGTAACTGTAAGGATAGAAACACAACACCAAAGGTAACACGACTTGCTAGGTATTTTCATGATTTTCAACTGGAATATCTTAATAAACTTTCCACTTGTCAACAAAATGCAGAATGGGTTGTTCTGATCAATAGAAGTATCTTTTATTTGAAACCAAACAAAGAAAAAGAAAAGGGAATTTCCCCTATCTTTTCTTCGAAACCCGGTGTTCTTTTTCATTGTGTTTTTTAAATGGAAAAGTGTTTAAAATATGCATATTTTAAAGCACAAAACCAATCAGGAGCTTTCATGGCTTGGAGGCTAGGCGGCCACTATGTTAAGATGTTGCAATGCTGCATCCGGATATATGGATTTAATTTTCGATACAATTGCATTTAAAAGAAAATAAAAAATTCAAAGTAGATCATTCATTTTTACATTTCGTTTGGAATTGCCATGTAGATATCAATCCTTGGGGCATAAGGAAAATGAAGGTTATTGTGGAGTAGTTACTATATAATATGCGTTGCATTTCATATAAGGCGCTGAAGAACACTTCCGTAAGCAGGTAGCATGCATTGGTCAGACTGGAGAGGGTATTTATTCAACATTCAAAAATCAGCATTTGTAGTGATGTCCGATAAAATCTTCATTTTTTTCATGCTTCAAGCATGCAGCTTTCAACCCAACCCTTACGTGTGTTTTGTATTATTTATTCTGATTATGATGCAAATGGCTTCAAGATTGCAATAAAATAGTGTTTGAAATCATATTTAAATCCTACCTCAATAAACGCCTTTCGTCTCAGGTGGATACACTACAGCGACATCACAAATAAACTTAACGTTGTATTATAGTTGATTAACAACACATTCATATTATTAAAAAATGTTTAATGTAGACATAAGTCATAGTTTAGAATATCTATGATTTCAAATTAAAGCTTTGTAGAGTATTATTTTTCATATTTAAGATGAGGAAATTAAAAAAAAAAGACTCTCTTTTTTTAAAAAAGTGGTCATTGGCACATATTGCCTCCTTGAAATTAATTAAATTTCCTTGTAGAATAATTCATTCTAGTTTGGAGACTGGCAGTGAGAAAACTAGATAGAAATCAAACAATGATTTGGTAATTGTTTGATATTAGGAATAAGTAGAGTTGAATTTTGAGTTGGAAATCACGTTGCTTATTCCTTCAACCTTAACCCTGGATATATATATATATATATATATATATATATATATATATATATATATATATATATATATATGTATGTATATCGAATCTCTGGATATCTTGAAGGATTTTCTCGGTCTTATCGAGTTCAAGATAACGTAATTTTACAGCAAAAATACACGTATATCGGCGATTCAAACGTAAAAACAGACAAACTATAATTTCAATTCGTGTCAAATGCTTAATAAAGCATATTTTTAATAACATCTTTCGTGAAATGAATGAGGTAAAAAAAAAAACAAATTCAAATAAAAATATATATAAGCTCATTTATAAGCTCATTGGCAAGAAAAAACTTATCTGTCTACATCACATATATTTAAATAACAGACGTTGAAAAACACGTACTGTACAATCATTTCAAAACATAACAAACAAAAAAGTCAAACAAAAGGCAATATCCATATATACATACAAAATTATGACAATAAAAAAACGTATCCATGTATCCACACAAACTTGGACTACACAAATAAATTATTCAAACACGTAACGAAGGAAATTGTAAAAGCAAGCTCTTTCATGTAGTAGCACATTACTTGCATTCGCAGCAATCATCTATCACATAAACATCCGCAAGTATTATCTATATTATGCATATGTCATTTAATTCAAGGTAATTCAAATGCAAACTCTTCAAATCAATTCAACAGAAAATAAATTTGCTTGTTTTTCTTACATAAACTTGTGAACTGATTTTATATATGTAAAAGTTATGAGTGACATGAAAAAATCTTTTTAGACCCTATTTCATGCAGCAGCTTATTCTGTAAGTTAATTTTCGTAAGCATCATTTCACAGTAAATACTGAACATTTTACTTAAACATATGATTTAGATATAAATGTATACATAGTTAACATTTACATAGTATACAGAGTTAATAACAGATATTCAAGATTTCTAAGATAAGCAAACTTAGTTAAGTTGGATTTCAATCCAGTCCGCATAAAAACTCACTTCATTCGTTCATATTTACAAAAATACCATTGTTTTTATATACTCGCCATTAATATCAGTTCATTGTTCGAAATGGTTTGTTCCTGTTAATGTATTTGACTTTTCCATTTCACATAAACATACTATGTAAATGTCATACGCACAAATAAATATTTCATAATATAATAAGTGTTCATAAATGTGAATTTTCTAATTTCTTAAAACTTTTTGGTTCAATAAAGTCAGAAACATCAACATATGCATGATTGGTATGTCCATTTGCACGTAAATGTCCATTTTCTTCTAACGATTCTTTACTATTTAATTTGGCTTTATTCACTGGTGGACCTAAAATATAAATTATTGCATGAATCAGAGAAAGGTATTTAGAAATTATCACTGCCTTTAAGTTACTCTAACAACACCCTCTATTCATGTATATTAAATAACCAATATAAATCGTCTTTCAAAAAGGTTAATCATGTTACATGTAAAATAAAATTTTAAGAAAATCTCATATCCAAATTAAACAGAATACCATTTTCTATTTAATATCAAATCTTTCTTCTTCCTTTTTTTAATTTACAGTAATTAAGTTAGGATAAAAAACATAAATGTACATACCAATGTAGCTTAACAAGACCGGTAGAAATATCAATCCATGAGTAGCACCATAAACGACAATTGCTAAGTACATTCTGAAATAAAACACCTGGAAAAGCTGCGATTTTGCGAAGGCTAGGACTATAATTCCGCCCAATTTTGTCAGCGTAATACCGCTTAATACCTTTAAAAGAAAAAAGTCATAGATATCTCATTAAAAATACAACAATTTATAACTTATGAATTAGAAACCTTTGAAGGAAAAGAAAGAATGAGATTTTAAATAGATAAACGTACAGAACTGCCCATGTGAGCAACTGCATCTTTTGCTCTTTCGACTTTGTCTCCGTGGTTGCTGACGGCGAACGCCCTTGTTATGTGTGCACAAAATTCAACAGATATTCCTACAGCCTGAAAGTATGAATTTTTAAATTCATTGAGAACATTTTTAAAATTATAAATCCTACCTGTATGAAATAGTTTAAAATGCAAGATACACATTACATCATTCAGACTTTAATGAAGCATACATACAGTCTTGAATCGTTCAAAGGTAGAAAGTGAGTTTTTATTTTTCAAAATTGAAACATTCCGGGTTATATGCCACTACTAAACTGAAATTTCTAAACATGATTTTAGAAAACCTTACCATAACAAGGTTGACCAATGAAACGGCATTTATTGAGATGTTCCACAAGGACATAAATCCTAGAATGTCAATCACTATCATAGTTATGGTCATGACCACCATCAAAGCGGAAATGATGTCAAATCCCAGTAATACAAAGGTCACAACAAAAATGGCGGCAACACATATACACAAGTTTTGTACCGTATCTTCAACAATCGTCAAGTATTGCTCGTAAAAGACGTAGAATACGCTAAAAATACAAGAAAATGAATCAAAAAAGAAAATTTAAAGAAGATGAAATGTTGAATGGGACATTTTTTAATAAAAAAGGGAACGTAAGATACTAAATTCTAAAATGATTTTACATGTATTTACCTGTACGGAAAGACTTTAGTCGAATTCCCTCCTGTTTTTAATTTTAACATGGTCGTCATATTGTCTGCTACTCTCCTTGCTTCTAATAATCCAGTGATGTAGTCCTTGCTTTCTTTCATTATGGAGTGATAAGTCATGAAATAAGTGGCTGAGAAGGGATAAAATAGAAAACGGTACAGTTACTAAAAAGTTAATCAACATGAACAAAATGTCACTCACGCGTGGTCATTCTGTAATAATATCGAATATTCCTACCTCCAACGGCCTTTTTATCATTTTTCAGATTTACTGCGCTCCCATATGCGGCATGCCCCCTAATTTAAAATAAAATGAATTTAATCATAATGTCATAGAAGACCTATGATAGTATGAATGAACACATTTATGATGAATATATGAAGAGGCTTTGGTATAAAGGAATAAATCATTACCCCTTTGCACATTTTATCCCTGGATTGTCTTTTAAATACCAAGGTAAAAATTTCATAAAGTCTTGAGAGACAGGCCGGCCATCAACAGTTTCACGAACAGGACACGTTAGACAACTTGTGTTATCCACTGAAACATATTTGAAGTGTGTTAATAAAAGTTTTACATTCATGCATGATAATTGTTATATATGCCTATAAGTTGCAATAGATATAATCAGGAACCGTATTAATTTCCTGAATAAATTACCTGTGGCTGCACAGAAATCTCTGGAGTTGTTGTAGATCCGACAACATGGGGGATCTCCACCAGGTCTTAACCAATCAAAATAGTCGTCTATCCATGCCGACGTCGGGTGAGCAATATAAGTGCTAAGAACAAGGTTAATTTTTTTAATATATGAGAAATAGCTGATACTTTTCATTTTAATTAAAAAAAAACAGGGTCATGTATGACCCAAGTCTTTTTTTAAATAAAAGTTTCGTTTATCATGCAGTTCATTTTGCTTTTACCCTCAGTTTATGAATCATGTGTTAAATAATAAAAAAAAAAGTACAAAAGAGTTTTAAGTGTATAAAAGTTTACTCACTATTTGGCTTGTTTTGCAGCTGTGCTAATCTGACCCGCCACGGAATCCTCGGGACAACCTGTGGCCCCGCAGACCAAGTTCTGACCTTCCTTTGTTGTGTAATCTACACCGTCCTCAACAACAAAGTACACCGGGGCCCCGACATGTAAGTACTCACTCAGGTTCCCGAAATAGTCAAGTACATACGAGTCCTATTTTAAAGAAATCATTTACTAAATGGTCAGTTAATATATTACATAGAACTACATGGATATAACGAACAGTATTCAAGCTCAAAAGTCCACTTAACAATACAAACAAGAGCAGAGTTAACACGGATCTTAAAACACTGACAAGGTATTCTTTATTTTTCTCTTTTCAAAAATGGTATATTCCAGTCGTAACAAAAGTGAATACTGAGTATCTCCTGTTAATACTCACATCTGGCATGGAAAGCTTTTGATCAAGCCCAATCTCTATTTTATGAATCTGAGATACGCTGAAGCAGAAATATCCAACAAACACTATCATCTGGAGTTGAAAAAAAATGTATGAGGGGATTTTAAAAATCTTTTTTTTATTTTATATATATGTATGTATCTGAAAACAATTAACATAGCAAAAGGCGAATCTTACCACCACTGGTCGAACAACTTTGGAAAGCAAGGCCTTTGAATAAAAGTTTTTGAATACTTTAAAATGAATTCCTTCAGAGTTTCTTTCTTTCTTTGTTTTATCCAGTTGTACACAACAGCAAATATCCAGTCTACTGCTCTAAAATTGACAAATAAATATGGATAGTTTTTTTTACATATATTTTCGTTATGGAAAATAAATGTTCTGATGCAGTTTGTTATAGGAAAAACTAGTTTACTTACTTCTTCTCTTTTGGCATCCAAAGTCATAATTGCAACAAAAACAGTTATTTGAAACAGGAAATCTAATAAAACTGCCATGGCTGAGTACAGTGAAAATACTCGCACTGCTGGCATATCAGTCAGAGCACCTACAAAGAAAGATGGAATCGATCATATTTTGGTAAATTTCAATGCCTTTTAGTTGTGTTAGAAGGATATTGATTAAAAGTATCCTTAAGGTTATCATTCCAAAAAAAAAAAATACCCACCCAAGAAGAAAGCAAGTGATTCAGCACAGCTGGCCAGAAGCATGCTTGGTCCAACTTTCCCCAGGACTCTTCCGATTCTGTCCTCAAGCTCCTCACCAACATGTGCTTCATCTCTCTGTAGAAGAAACATCATGTATAAAAACTGGATATTGAGCGTGATTTAAACCTTTCTAGACAACTGAGAGTTTTTTTACTTAATGTTCACGAAGAACAATTCTACAATACAGATAATCAAGCTAGTGCTGTAGATACCTGGAAAGCTTGTACAAGGATGAAGATGTTGTCGACTCCAACAGCCAAAACCAGGAAAGGAACAACTTCAATGATGATTAGTGTGGCAGCAACTCCACAGTAGCTGAACAGACCCAGGGACGAGGACACAGATAGCAGTACAATGCAAACTCCACACAATCCAAGGCTCGTTTTGGAAGTAATCTGGAGAACATTGTATAAAGAAACTGAATGACATCTGGTTTAGAAATAAAATTAGGATACATTTTTGAAAAAGTGCGTAAGAGATGTAGGATGCCCAAAAACTGTAAAAATGTCATGCAGTTATTGATAAGTTGAAAGGCATTATATCTAGGATAAATATACATGTAATCTTGTATTATTAAATTTAATTCTTTGGTTGCTCAGTTTTATTAACATAAAATACTAACGGTATGCTTACATTATTTAGTAAACAACACTGACAAAGGAATGGGAAACTTACAAAGCATCTTGAGCATTGTCCAAAGTTCCCCAGTGTTATACTGATATACCCAAACATGACTATGTAACTAATAACTATCGTCCAAACATCTGAAGCACTCTCACGCTGGATTTCATCTTCAATGGAACGCTACGAAAAAGAAAGAATGGCTAATTTATATTTACACAGAAAAAGTGGAAGAAGTATGAGAAACTCGCGGAAGCCTTTTTTATACTGCAAAAAGTTTTATAATTAAATTTTGATGCGTAACAATCTTTTCCTCGATAAGTGGGTAAGAACAATTAAGAATAAATAACAGATCAAAGGAGGATTTTCTACAAAATAAATGACATTATCATTTATTATTAATCCTACCTCAGCTGAATAAGCAATGATCATATCAGGGTCGGAGTAGTTCTTCATGAAATTTAGAAATTCTTTCTCCCAAGCCTTAGCTTTTTCATTCTGTGCTTCATCGACGTGGTTGTTAACAACGAAAGTGATGACCATTGCGGTGGATTCATTGTAATTCTCACCTGTCGGGAAAAATGGTAGGTAATTTAGAAAAGAATTCAAAACTCTGATTATCCTTGTAAAACAACATGCTCGATGGAAGATTATTTACTTGTTTCGGTAATGATAATAATTGAGTAGCTGTTTTTACGTTTGTTTAATTGTTGACAACTAGCATTTACCTGTGAATCCTCCAAGAGATATCCACGGAAAGATTGGCTGTCCACTGGCTCCTAAACATGACATGTCTAGATGGTGCTGGTCTGATACAGACGCCGGAGCTCTGCAAGTTAGTTATTGTATATAAAATAAAAGTGAGCTTAAAATGAAATTGCCATTTCGGTTCTTGATTATGGAGGTTCTATTACAGTGCAAGACTATGCAATAAAGATTTTGACACTTATTGTGATTTCTTAAAGATTAGGGTCTCGCACATTACCTACATTTAATTTCCAAACTATAAATCTTAAATTTCCTTTCCTTCTTTTGAGAGATATTTTTTCAATAGGTATACGTCAACTATAATATATGTTTAATAAAAAAATATAATGGGTCAGTTATGTGTCTTTCTGATGTATCCCATACCTTGCGCAATCAGAGAAATGATCCAAGTAGTCTCCTTGTAGAAAGGTATGTGTATATTGATCATATTTGATTTTATCTAGCCTTGTATGGTTGTTCTGCCAATATTCCAGTATACTTTGAATTGTACATTGAGTATTGTCAGGGGCCAGGGGCTGAAAACAGATGTCCTGAAGTGTCACTTTCTTTCCTTTGTAGTATGCTTGTATATTCTGAATGCTTAGCTGAAGATCCAGAACCTGAAATTAATATATTATGACATTATTACATTCGAAATCTCTCTCTCTTTCTGTATATTTGGGCCTCTGTTATTTGTATACCTTAGAGTCATTCATACATAAAACGAACCTTGTGTAGAAAGGCTTTATCGAATATAGAGGTGTAATTCCAGTAAAGACCATATTGCATTCCAGGGACTTCGTGTCTGACACCTGTAGCGTTTTCGGGTCGTGTGATGATTAGTTGCTCGGTCCGATAAAATGGTCTGCAATTTAAAATTCAATATATCTACGACACATGTAGAAAATAAGTGTACTTCTTCTCAAAACTTCTACTATTTATCTTAATTTCAACTATAAATATGAATATTCAAATTTTGAATCCTTTGTTAAAGAAAAAGATTTACCCAAAATGGTTGTCGAAGTAATTCTTTTCGAGTCTGGCCCTGCTCTTTTCAGCTGACCAAAGCTTTACTGGACTTGTGGTCACTTTGAACATCACTATTCCAACAGAAAAGACAGCTCCCAATATGATGCCAGCAACGATTATCTTTAAAGGATTCAAAGCACAAAACCTGCCCCAACGATTGAAATTGCTCTCCAAACTCCTTTCCATCCACAAACCCCATTTCTGAAAACAATTTCCTTTTGGTTCTTCCTTGAACGCCTCCTTCTTCTCTGTTTTGTTTTTACCAACAATATACACATCAGTGTCTCTATTTATTTGTTTTTCCTTTTCACCAGAGGTTCCACGTTTATAAAAGAAAGAAACTGTGACAAAGAGGATGAAAAAGAAAGAAAACACGATGAAGGTAACGAGTGATGCAAAAAACCAACAGTCCACTCCGTCTATAGTACACGGTATTTTGGGCTTTGGAGGGGGCGGGAGGGGAGCACACATAGATTGGCAATCTTGACAACTGCATGCTGACAAGTTCCCATATTTTTTGTAACAAGGGGTTGTACTGTAGTTCATTGGATGGATATCAGCTGTTGAAGTGTTTTGTATGTGATAATTGATGGTGAATGGGGTTTGTCCATTGGCAGTAGAACCCATGAAGTCCAACCAGTTCTGCACAGTGCAATCAGCGGCAGGTTTTCCACAGATGACGTCTAAGGCTTTTGCGTTTGTACTTGGCATTTGAACATCTTTGCAGGAATTGTACATTCCGTATACGTAATCTTCACTCACATGGTAATCCACCGCCGTTATTATTTCACGTGGATCGGTGGGGTTAAATATATTTTGCATCTTTGCCTTTACTTTGACAAAGTCTGCTTGGTTGGGATCGCACGTGAAATAGCAAAAGAGGTATAGAAAGTTATAGTAACAAGAAGGACATCGGAGCAAAAGCTGTTCTGGCACACCCATGTTCTTCTTGAATGATCTCAGTTGGTCCAAGTCGCAGCATGTTAATGGTTGATCGCCTGAAAACAGGTTTTCATGAAATTAACTTTTGAAAAATTGAATCATTGTACCTGATTTTTGAATACATTCTCATATTTTGATCCTTTTAATAAGTATAAATTTGAGTTCATGTTTTAGAATACATTTTTATTCATATTTTTTAAATTTCGATAATTTAAAGAAAAGAAATCGAATGAATTTACTTTCTTTAATATTTTTGTTTCTATAACTTTTATTTCATTTCGATCTATAGATGCAGCATGAAAACCATAGTATTTTATGGATTTGGAAATATTCAATTTTCTTTTCTTTTTTTGAGAACCGATTGCATAATAAAATTTACCTATAAAATACATTGAAAAGTAAACTTTAGAATCAAATGTTGTCGCAAACCTAAATATAGCACGAAATTTAATAAATTTTATTAGATGTAAGTGGTAGTGATATTGCAAAATTTTATCACATTTGCTTGTCAACATTAATTATATAATATAAACACAAGTAGGCGGAAAACTTATATGATAACTGCACATGCATTTTACATAATATATCTCTCAGATTTTAAAAATTGATAAAAGTGTACATGTATAAATAATGATAAGTGTCTGTCGATGAATATTGAAAGAATCTTTCGCCTTTAAAATATACTAATCTGTTTTGACTACTTCCATCAAGAGACGTAGGTCAAGGAGACCGTCCCCTAAAAGTAGTTGTCTTTTTTATCATTTTAATCTTAATTTGAAAATGGAAGTAGAAGAAATATCTGCGCATAATAACCAAATTTGACACAATACTAAGCGCTTGACATATCGAATGGAAAACAAAGAGGGTCAAAATTTCAAAATTCGTAATTCAATCATCTGCGATTACGAAACTCACTTGTGACCAGATTTGGACAGTATGTCCGCAGAATGTCAAGCCCCTCTGTTTCGTTCATTACTTTTGGTGATCCTTCATATTTACAGTTCAAATTTCCTGTGGGTCTGGCGAGACATTCCCCATACATGGAACATTTGCCGGAATTCTGAAATTATAAAGTAACTGTACTGTATTTTGTTTGTCTTAAGGACAGATGATACAAACACTTTTTAGGAGACTTAATATTATGTAACAAGTTTAGAAAAGTGAATTCTAAGAATTTTTTCTCCTTGGACTTGGAAAATGAAATACATGTAGACTGATTTGTCAATATTTGATATTTTATTGAGATATTAACTAAGATTTTACAACTCTATTGTTTTTTTTCAAGTCCAAGGAGAAAACATTTAAAGAATTACCTACATTTCTAAACCTTTGACATGATATTAAGTCTCCTTAAAAAAAAACAACTGTTTGTATCATCTGTCCTTTATGTGTAGGATGAAACGTGGAAAAGTCATTTTCTCTTGTAACAATGCAGTAGCACCAATGTTCTGAGGTAAAAGGGTTTCATATCTACATGTAAAAGAATTTGCGTTTTATTAAATCTCGTATATCATCTAAATGTTTTTTTAATATGAGACCTCATAAGCCGGACATAATCTATGAGCTATATTACCTGTTATTAAGTAAGCGCAATTGACACTCGATGATATATATTCGAAGTCTGGCCTTTTTTTTATACGATTATCTTAACTTTGATTTTATTTTGAATAATTTTATCTGCCATTGGCCTGTCATTCCCTTTAACTCGGTCATTTTTAAGGTTAAGACGTACTAACTTATCGAATTCCAGAGTTAACTGATAAATATTCTTCGCTTGAAAATGTTACTTCGCAGTTTTTACTATTCCAAATGATTTAGGTTTTGACAAGGGTTTTGAAAAATCTGTTTTAAAGAAAACACAAAATTCTTTTTAAAATATTTAATGTATATTTCATATTTTCATTTTTCTTCAATCCGAATTGTTATCACACTAAAACATGATATTGAAAATATAGTATTAAAACATTATAAGAATACTTTAAGACTCGTCAAAAATTTATTTTTTAAAATTGTCTGCAACGTTCATTTATCAATTTTTCAGACGGAATTTAAGTATTTGTTTTCGAAGACTTTCCCGTATAAAAGTATTCATTCTAAAATTATTAACCTGTTTCATGTTTGATTGTTAATATTTTCTCTAAAATACAACTATTGACGAAAGACTTCAAGTCTACACTAAAAATATTTTCTCAATATTATTTTTTAAAAAGACACCAAGGAAGTAAAGGAGTATCTACCTGACAATTGGTAGTTATTAATCAATCGAAATTCAACATGTTCTCTTCAACAATCCCTTACCTGTGCAAAAGTGCATTTCATGAACACCAGAACAATAGAATATCGTAAATATTCTTTCTTCATAGTTGTCTTTGTTAACGCTACAGCATCCATAAATCAAAAAATGAAGAATAACATGTGAACAGTGTGTTTTCTCGATCTTTGTCCTCAAGACCTATATCGTACGATGGTGTGACACATGGAGTGGACTGACACTATGAATGGGTTGATCTAAGGGGAAGGTAGTTTGAGTGGAGGCGATAAGAGCACCACATTAGCAACATGATTATTCCGATTTGTTTGTTTTGGTGTCGTCATTGGAGTAGACTTGGGAGGAATTGGATAACTTGGGAGGTCAAAAATATGCGGTCAATGGAATTGTTCTACATTTTTCCTGTATATGTATTGGTCGATTAAAAAAAGTTCTTTGACTAAATTTTACCAAAACTGAGAGACAGTTTGTTTGCTTTTCTTAATTAGGTGATTAGTTTTATTGTTTCAAAACGTAAAACATTTACAGAGTCCCGTGTATTTCCGGTCATGTTTCTGTAGCACTTTGAATTAAAATTATAAAAAGAATAGCAGCATTTGAGAATAATTGAAAATAACACCACTTTTTTGATTGTTTGTTTGTTGTTTAACGTCCGTCTCGAGATTTTTTTACTCATATGGAAATAGTACAACGTATTGTTTTTACGAAATGCCTTACATAGATAAATGTATATTAAACACGCTCTGTCGCTAGAGATGATGAGGCAATCAAATATTCTAATTAAACAGACGAAAAATATTTCATTTATTTATTTCTTTTTTCTATCAAATCATTTCATATTAAGATTTTTTTTTTAAGAAAAAATACATGTATATGAAAAATGTGAAGATGGACATTATTTCAAAAAGGTAGGATTTTTACACTGTCAATATTTAAATATTTGATTTATATTACATGTATTTTTACTGTCACAGAAAACACCTGCAAGGTGCAAGTTGGCCTTTCTGGTCGAAATCTTGTGTCCTACTCAACAATAAAACATGTATGAGGCTTCCAATTTTTTTTATTTCAATGGAAGGATTTTGAATCCTTGCGAGAGAGGAAAAATTAGAATTGTTGAAAATTATGTAGTTAAAAAATAATAAACTTGTCTGAGGAATCACACGAATTGCTTATGACATCGATCCATCGATATCAAAAATTCTGTTTCTAGCGAGAATCAATAACACTTCGGACAAGAAGAGACACCAAGAAAGGGGATACAATATTTTAATTCTGGAATTAGTGAAGAACACTGTGAACGATCAATTGTGATGGCGATTGAGGTTTTCTTATCTAGAAATTTTCTTTCTCTTGTTTGTTCGATGCATGGAATGTTTTGTTTCTGAATACAGAATAGTTTTCTTATTTTACATTGTAGATTCCAACCCCCAACAATTAATTGCTCCTAATTATTTAATTATATTTTTTATGCCATATTTTGATTTTCTTTCTCATTTATATTAATCATTCCAGCACCGTGAAAATGAATAATTCACAAATTCTTTACAATTTATTAAAAAGAAATAAAGAAAAGAAAAAAAAAAACAACTTGTCATCTCAAATTATCATCTCAATTAAGAGATAACGAAGGATATGGAGATAACAAACAGTATAAAGACAATAATTTTTAAAAGGGATGTTAAATTTCTTTTTTAAAAACACCCTGATAATTGCTAATTACAACTATGCTCTTTTATCAATGAATCGGCAAAATACCCAAAGTCTGGGATATCTAATAAAAATTTTACAGCAATACAGCAAACTCGAAACATGTGTAAATAATTCCATTTATAAGGAAACTCATTCACACAAAATAAAATCATGTAGCAAATAGCATTCATCAAAATAGCGCCACATTTCCTTTAATTTGCTTGCAGTAACCGTGAACTTAATTCACGATTTTTTACTTAGATAAAATGACAAACATTCCATTTTTTACGGGGAAAACTATAATTACTGAAGAAGATTGAGGCACTTGGTTCTTATCTATCAATAGAACCTAGCTATAGGGAAAACAGGGTGCAAATAGAACCATACCCAGTACCTGTGTCAAAAGAAACTACATATGTATAGATGTACATACCTACCGTCAGTGCGAACTTAGATGTAAAAACCAATCCAATCATTTTTTGACATCGAGTACAAGGAAAACCTATTTATCCCTTGTAAGAACAGTATCATGCACGTTACATGTACATATAATATTTCTTTAAATATCATAATTAAGTCATTTTCAATCATATTTAGACATATGTAAACCTAGGCATTGCAGAATTAAATTTGTTCAAATCATAACCCCAAGAAGTGGAAGGAGGGGGGCAAAACAAATGGTCAAAGATTGGCGTAAAAATATATAAGATTCACCTTGAAAAAACTGTTCTGCTCAAGAACAGTAAAGCCATGATTAATAATATTGATATGGAAGCATCCTTAGGTTGTGTAAATTTAAGTCCTCCGTAAACTTTTAATAATGAGCTGGTATCTGCTATTTCCTACCCAAAGTATAGCACAATTTGTAAAAGTATTTCCTAAAAATTACTGAGAATTATTCGTGAGATGATTTTCAAAATGCTTTAAATAAAAATATATACAGGTTGAAAATAATTTTTATCAATTGACAATATTTGCCATTTCCATATTTTGTTCGCAGTTTTCATGAATAACGTTTTCTTTTCTTTGTATACTTCCTGTTGATTTTTTTTATTCAAAATTTGTGCTTTTGAAAAAATAAAGTCTATTGAAGATAAATATTATGAAAAAAAGCCAAACTAGCGATACCTCTGAAACACTAAGTATTCTATTGTCTACTACTGACTCACGTGGGACAAAATATTGAAAAGTTAATGATATTCGGGAAAGGGCGGGAAATGATACCTCATTTTTTTTTCTAAACTGGATGTTGTTATTCATGAGCAATTATCCAAGTCCTCTTTGCTATGTGAATTTTGGTATACATGTAATTGGCCTACAAACTCTTAAATTTTCCTTTTCTTTTTTTTCTTCTTTAACATTTACTTCCAAACAATACGAAGTAGATGGTAAATGCCCAGTGTTTCAGAAATTTTGCAAGATTTTTCAATCCTTGCTAATAGATAGCTTAAATAGGCTTTCTATTTTCAACAACAGCATTTTTGAGCATCAACAGACAACAGGAAGATATATATTTATAAAATGGAAGGTTATCAATACAAAATTGCAGAATTTTATCATCAGAAAATAAAGAGCATTGAAAATAGATAAAACAGTACTGTTAAAACATGTAATAATTATATGTTTGAATCCAATGTTAAATATACATCATAACAAAATTTTCATTAACTTCTAGGAACACTATAAAATGATATCCTTATCTCATTTCCTTATATCTCTTCTGAAATGTTCCTTGTTGTTAGCATGCCGATTTTTTTTCAATAAAAAGGAGAATTTTTCCTTATAGCTAACCATATCATATGAAGACACATTTTACTTTGATTTCTGTCCACAATTTACTTGTGGTAAAATAAGGGTAATTTTAAGTTCCCCGTTAACCTTTAATATTGATATTTGGTTTTTCCTACCCAATGTGCTCAGGTGACCAATAAATCCCACAGGCCTCTTTATTCAAATTCTGCATAAATATTAAACGATTCAAGGTTTGTGTCCGCATAGGTATAAAACATGCGCATGTAAAGTATATTCAGCAGTATAATGGCATAATCTGCAAAGGTTTTATGACGACTTGGTAAACCTTGGCTTTACAAGTTTAACATAAAATTCATTAGCTGTCTTTTCTTCAAAATGGCTATGAACAAGTATGTCTTCGCCGTGTTTTTGCTGTTGGCAGTAATGCAAACACCAGTGAGTAATCAATGAATACAGCTGTATATATTCTTAATCTAAAACACTCTTATTTAAGGAAATAGATAATTAACTTCTTATGGATGGGTAATGGACAGAAAAGGAATGAACGGAAGGAAAACGACTTCAGTGCTCTTAGTTTGTGAAAGAAATTTTAGTTGTATGGCAGCAGATTTCAACTCTCAAGTTTTCAGGTGTCTGAGGCTGTTCTCTCAATATATGTACTGGTTGTTTTTTTTTTACTTCTGATCACGGTTTCTGTTCTCACTTCAAGTTGTAATACTGTTAAAAGAATTATAACTCTAATAAAAAGTTGACGAATCACACTAAACGTGTACTTATATGTACATTTCTAAATTCACGCAATAGTCTGTACAGTACAAAGTAGTTAGGAAATTGGAAAATGCTCCTGATAGTGTTTCAGATATATCACCAGATTTTACAACCCCTTACTAATAAAAGGTTTAAATAGGCTTTTTATTTTCAATAGCAGTAAGAGCATCCTGAGCACATACAACAGGAAGATAAATATTTTTGAAATGGAAGGTTATCGATAAAAAAGTTTTGTCAATGAAAAATTAGTATTGTTAAAACATATAATAATTATATGTTTTAATCCAATTTAAATGTATATGGTAGCAAAATTTTCATTAACTTCTTGGAACACTATATAATGATATTCTTATTTAATTTCCTTACTTCTATTCTGAAATTTTCCGTGTTTTTATCATGCCATTTTTTTTCAACTGAAAAGGAGAATTTTTCCTTATAGCTAACCAGACATTATGAAGCCATATTTTACATTGATCCCTGTCCACAATTTACATGTGGTAAAATTATTGAATAAATTTATGTTAAGAAAAAGATTTCTAATCTTTTACTTTAGAGACATCAAAATCATTTTATTCAAAATATTTATATATGTGTTTGTCTGTTATATACGGGTAAATATGTAAAAAGCAAATATTACCATACCTTTATAAAGTATTTCAAAGGTCATAGGTTACTACATGGTCTAATCACACGATGCAATAAAGACTTGTTGCATGCTTTTCATGTACAAAAATGTGCAAAATGCGCGAGTAAAATTATATTTCCTTTATTCACACTTTTTGCTGTTAATCATATTGTTGAAGACGTGATTTTAGGCTGAAAGGAAAGGTTATCAAATTTAATCTGAAAATGTAAACCCTCTTAAAAATCGACTCAAGACTAAGAATGATGTTTTTCTTATATGATAACATTGATTTTACAAAAAAGCTACACAGAAAGTCTAACTTTAGTTGTAAAAATTGTAAGTTGTAAATATTGTTTAATTGTAAAGCAGATACTAGAATTATAAAAAAAAATGCAGTTTATATATGATATCTTATTATTAATTTATTGTTTGTTTGAAGTATAAAGGGGCTTGGTAGAACACTTTGCGACCGATATATATCTTGTCATAAGGATTCTATCCAATTTTGAATTCCTTTATAGGTATGGTAATCGAATTCAATTTGGTTCTTGGGGATATTAAAATCATTAAAACTGACATACGGTTTTGTGGAATCTCCATTTATTGGAAAGAAATCATTAGAATATGAACAAATCCAAGTTTCTTCCATGCCATTGTAAAAATAATAGGTACTGATCAAGACAATGTTTTACACAGTCTTTGTCAGCAGGAGCCAGAGCTTATTGATCATCCATATAAACTTTACTTCTTTGGTCACTTCTGAATTAGAATGAATGGTTTTCATATTGCTTTCATTGATTTTTTTCCTCCAAGAATTCTTTTTGCTCTAAATTATTCTAAATTATAATACAAAAACAGGTGAATATTCAGTAGTTTTAGATTAAACCTAATTTTTGAATTTTATGCTACGTAAAAAAGGCTTAAGGTTTTATTTGATGAGGTTTTGCATTCAAATATGTAGCTTAAGAGTAAGAATAATAAAGCCTAAAATACGACTACAGTACATTTGTATAATGTATCCATTCCCAATAATACCTGATCATCGTCAATTGATTTGGTAGAAGGCAAGATATATAATTTATATATATTTCATATATATTTATAAAATGATGATCTTGTGAATTATCATCTTGTGGAGATTTCTTAATTAAGGTGGAAGTTAAAACTGATTTCTACCTTTAAAAAAAACTTTCACAAGAGGATAAATCCGTCATAGATTTTAGAGTCAGTCTATGCTAAAAACTCTAGTTCCTTCCCTTTTCTAGTTCATTTAAAAATAATTATACAACTACAAAGCTCCAGTTACCAATCTTCCACTTTATTTTCAGGTCAGCGTTAATGGTCAGTGTGTAATGTACTCAGAATGTGAACAAACCCCATCAGGTCCACTCCCATGTACCTACAGTGGTCAACCCATCACTCTAAAGGACCAGAAATCTCTACAAATTTTGAAAAACTACTGTCCTGATTTATATGAAGGTATTAATACGTAGATTTCACGATTTTCTTTTAAATAGTTTTCTGTTATGTTGAGAACACCACGTGGTTAAATTTAAAACATCTTTAATTCAGAGGCGCAAAATTATTTTATTCAAATTATATCATATATCTGATATCTTGAGCTCTATTGCTATATAGACTTTTAGATAGTTTTCTATTAGAGAGAAAATAGTTAAATTTAAAAGACCTTTCACTTAGGTCTTTATTTCATTCATATTATATTATATTATACATGTGATATCACTATTTATTAAACATGCAGAGAGGAAATATCTTCATACCTGTTTCAAGTTTTTTTTAAGTCCTTACATTACTAAATCACACAATGCAATAATATCCACGTAAAAAGACCTGCTTTTCATGTAAAAGAAAAATGTACAAAATACGCAAAAGGATCGTTTTATCATAATTTGATAGTGTTAATCAAATTGTTTACGGCTTGACTTCAGGACCAAATGTTTTCATTGATAATTTTTTAAAAATTAAAAAAATATCTTTTATAAATTGTCTCTAGTCAAGTGAACAAGGAAAATGTATTCCTGATATGACTACATGTATAATGCTTTAACAAACAAAAAAAGATGCAAGGTCTGATTTTAATTGTGATATAGCCTCATAGCCTTATAGAAATATTATGTTTATGACTGAAACATTTACCAATTTTTAATTTATCTCTGAATACCCGGAAATGATATTTTCACTGTTAATTTCTCTCTTAATGTCTTCACTATTAAATTTCAGGTAGTAACACAAAAACATGTTGTGATGAAATGCAACTATCCAGCTTGGTAAAACAGACGAGACTCGTAGAACAACTATTATCAAAATGTCCATCTTGTCTACATAATTTTATGGCCATATTTTGCGAAATGACCTGCAGTCCAAAACAGAACGCCTTTCTCAAAGTTATGAATCAGGGCAAGACAGTACATTCGCTGGATTACGTCATATCACGTGACTTTCTCTACAGCATGTTTAATTCCTGTAAGAATGTTGAACTCACAAGTGCCAATGATAAAGCCTTTTCAATCATTTGCGGCAGATCAGCCAGTGAGTGTACACCAGAGAACCTTTTAAGCTACCTTGGTTCGACGTCAAATGGTCATACCCCATTTGAAATTTCCTTTATCGAGACGAACGATAATATAACAATAGGAGGACGGGATTATCACCCAATGAACCAATCTACAATCCCCTGTTCAGAATCTTGTTCAAGTCGTGATTGTGGGGTTCCAAAGCTACCTAGACCACGCCCATGTCCTGGTGGGTCATGTTTTGATGGACAAATAAGGTATTCATTTAAAACAAATTGTTTAGAAGACCTCGAGATTTTTTTTCATTACTTGTATGCATAATTTCTGCAATTAGTATTTGAATACTTTTTCTATTTTAGTTTTGTTAATTCATCACGAAAATGGACTATTTGAGTTTTTGTTTGAAGTAAGTTTTAAACATTCAGTTCTTAATTCTATTTCTTGTATTTCAGACCAATTTACAGGCAAGAACAAGTAGTGATAACCAGGCCACACAACCATACTGTTGTCAGGCATTATCTTCCCCCGCCATCAAATGATCTTATGAATTACACGTCGTTATTTGACAAGAGTTTTCTACATTTAGTAAGTTATTCCACCCATACTCCTGTGGTTCATTCATAAACAATGACACCTGATCCTATATATATATATCTTTTTAGTGAGACCTTAAAAACTGAAGTATTGTCTTACGGTAGACGTTAATATAATTCCTAACAGTTCAATGGCCGTTGGTGCCGGGTAAAAGTCAAAACGTGAAGCCCTTCATCGGTATATGGTGACATCTGTATATGGAGATATATTCTCGAATTGGACGTAAAACAGCATACAATTAATCAATCCTATATCAGTTGTAGCTGAGCCAGGTCCTCTAATCTAAAAAAGAACAATGAGAATGATTTGCGAAAAGGAAGCTTTTTGGATTATAGTCTTTAGGTCCTAGGATCTATATAAATCAATACAGTATTTAATAACGTTATTTGTTTTCAGCTTTTAGATTTTCAACAAAGCATAAGAAATATTTCCGTTAAGTTCGAAAACCAAGACATTGGATTGAAGGATATTTGCTACAGACCACATTATGGTAGTGATTCTTGTGCTGTATTCAGCATTCTTGAGTACTGGCAGAGTAATCACTCAAACATCGATAAAATCAAAATGGATCAATATGGATTTTTTGTCCTTGCAGATTATTTGGATCATTTTGCATCTTGCGCAGTGTAAGTTTGCAATCCTTCTTTGGAAATTTTTTTCTACTAAAAGCTTTCATTGTTTTAAAAGTTTGGTTGCTGAAAGTTAGGGCACTATTGAAAATATATACGGTTCCACTACAAACAAATATCGTGGGGGGAGTGGGGTGTGGAAAAGGAGAATACAAGTATAAAATTTCATCAGATTCACGTACTGCTTAAATGGTTTATAAAGTTGGAGAATAACATTCAGCAACGATTGCACACCTTCAACAGAGATTTTTTTTAATTTCATTTCATTTTTTATCACAGTGTATCTTCAGAAATAGATACAGTGGGTCTAAACATGTCTTGCTCGTCCTCTGCAAATCAAGCCATTTATCCAAATATGGTTCTAGCCGGCTATGGAGGTAAAGTTTTTTTTGAACATTTTTTACAAAGATCTTGCAAAAATTGATATCAAGAAATTAGTGTTACTATGAAATCTCATATAGGTAACATTATCCTTTAATAACTTTTGTTACAGGAGAAAATCAAGTAGAATATTTCAACAGTTCTACTGCTTTTGTCATCACGTTTTTGATCCAGAATTATCAGGATGATCGCATGAATGATGTTGCACGTGCGTGGGAAGGGGAGTTTAAAAAATTCGTGCAAAACTTCCGCAGCCCCAACATGACTGTCTCAATGAATATGCCACTTCTGGCTGATTCGTTTTACTAGACATACATAAACATGTATTTGTAACAACAGTCTTATAAAATACATCATTGCTATCTTTGTAGCGATAAAAAAATGGTTGTGGGTTTTCTTTTTTTAAATTTAACTTCTATCTTCTTTCTGTGAATGTTCAGCAATCACTGTCCAAAATTTGTCAGCGCATTTATTTCATTACTTTACATCATCTGTTTTATTTCTAAAAGATTTTTAAAAGTGATATTTTGATAACAAAAAGTCATTCAATAGCATTAATTCTTATGAAAATCTCAGAAAATCCTTTAATTCTTCAAAAAATAACTTTGATATTTAGTTCAGTGTCACTGAGCTTGATGAAAACAATTTTCCAGCTTATGACATTAGTCATCTAGAGAGCTAGAGACCCAGCTTAATCAATCAAAGTCATAAAACCGTAAAAATACCTATTTTACATCGAGCTCGGAAAAGAATGGACTATACGATCAGTGACGTTGCTTATTGTGACGTCACAATTGCTTTTCATGTTAGAAAGCGCCGAGTAGCGATCAATGCATGCTTAGCAAAAATTTATTACACTTTTACCTGGCACTTTGATGAAAACAATGGTAAGTTTGATTTTATCAATATTTATATTACGATATTTGATTTTAAATAACATTGATAGCTGTTTTATTAATTTCGCGAAAAATCGTTTTAGAATTGATTTTTCTAATAGGATGAAGTAGCTATACTGTAACAAACAGCTGTTAAAATAATGATTTTTCAATTAGCAGAATATAACTTTTTATCTGTATTTTTCCCCTTCATTTTTACTCTTTATTTACAAGGGACGGAAATTGTAGCATATAATAGTTATAAAAGATATATGTACATCAATTATTGAACATCAATGAAAAATAATTTTCATCGGGTGCGGTTACGGATATAGGCGTTTCTATGATGGCGTTTTTTCTATTATGACGTCATAATTGTTTCGATAAAAATTAAGGGCTGTTGATAGTCACAAAGTATAATAGGTTTGCCAAAGTAAAAATGACGGTAAACAAATTTAAACATTAATTTTTAATTTTAAAAAGTTATTTTTTTAAAAGTGTAACCTTCATAATAAATAATGTCAAAGATATTTTTCACTGTAGGATGTGAAAGAAGGAGAGGAATACGGAAATGGTAGAAAAGTCAATGAAGGACTGAGCCAAATGAAAGTAAGTCTATCATTTTTTTTTTTAAGTTCAAAGATTTTATTTTAATGCACAAACAATTGTTCCAGAATAATATGTCTGAATTAAAAAAGGAGTTTTGACAAAAACAATAGTAACTAAAAAGTCTAGTAATAGGTTCCTTTTTTATTAAGTAGTTGACTTATGGATTTTACTCTTTTGTAGGAAACTGAGAAAGAAAAATCAAACATTTCTCAGAACTACATGAGAAGAGACGATTTCACAGACATACCTGAGAAGATTTTAAAGGTAATTTCCATATTTTCATTTCACTCACTCACTCATTAAAAGACTAGAAAAACTGGAGTAAGTTGCTGAGAGTTTTTTAAAAGGTCAAATTTATTTTTTACCGTTTATGTTGCATTTGATTTATATTTTGGTGTATTTACAGATTTATCTTCCGGACTGTGAAATCATAGCAAGAAAGCTGTGGAGGATCAAAGAATACGCAGAAGAATTGGACACAATTCAGACCTTTAAGAAAGGTTACCATATAGGAACTTCTTGACCAAAATGTTAAAATGCGTGTGTATTTTAAGTGATTTTCAAATGGGCTAATATTCACAGCCATTCATGATCATATTTTAATCTAGAGAATTTAAGACTAAATGTCGAAATAATGATCATAGGTGTATTCCACTGTGATTGGTATCAAAAGCAAAAATTTTGATACTTCAGCCTTAGATGGCACTGAAATATTTTCATTTACTTACTCAAAAAAAACTAGAAAAATTGGAGTAAGTTGCTGAGAGTTTTTTAAAAGGTCAAATTTATTTTTTACCGTTTATGTTGCATTTGATTTATATTTTGGTGTATTTACAGATTTATCTTCCGGACTATGAAACCATAGCAAGAGAGCTGTGGAGGATCAAAGAATACGCAGAAGAAGGACACAATTCAGGTAAGTGGCTTCAAAATGTTAAAATGCGTTTGTCCATTTTAAGTGATTTTCAAATAGGATAATATTTTCATGATCATATTTTAATCTAGAGAATTTAAGACTAAATGTCGAAATAATGATCATAGGTGTATTCCACTGTGATTGGTATCAAAAGCAAAATATTGATACTTATTTTACTAAAACCGGTACTTTTTACCACAATAAAAACTTGAATACAAAACATTGCAGAAAATAATATATATAAAGTATATTTCATTTATTTAAAGGGGTAGCTTGAACAAAGGAAGCATCTGAAGATTTTAGCCATTTTTGCCAGAAAACGCAGAACATGTTTATTTCTTCCTCACCTTGAGGTAAGGAATTTAAAGATAGAAATATAAAATTCAGCAGATGTTTCTAGACGAAAGTAAAATGTAACTGGCTAATGGCACAAAACCTCTGTATTTTGAATTTCACTAAGTGTTTCATTTGGCCATAATTTCCCAGAGTTTTAATAATCATAGTATCTTAAAAAGCTTCAGCTAAAGAGTACCATTTTTCATTTTAGCCATTTTTACCAGAAAACGCTGAACATGTTTATTTCTTCCGCCGATGGAGTCGGGATGACTTCAGATATTATGCGCCTTGGCTTGAGACAGTATATGTAAGTAACTTTATGTTTATATTCAACTTAACATACTAACAAATGAAGCTGCAATTTACTTTTCAATATTTTATGGCTGTATTATGTATATTCAAATTATAAAATAACAATGGTGTCGAATTAATTCATTTCACCTTTTTGTATTTTCTTCTAGGAAGTAGAACCATGGAATAATGTATTAACAGTAAATAACCAAGATGACAACAAACCAGAATTTGCTAGCGGGGAGGAGTACCTCGGTTGGTTGGGTCGGCAATTACCATGCCTCCAGGTATGTAAAGGTTGAAAAAACATTTGCATGTAAACTTAATTTTAAAAAAATCAGCCGAAAAGATAATTCGAGTGAATGTAGAATGAATACTATTTGTGCTTGATTTCAGGAAATCAACAAATTTGAGTCATGATAATATTTTAGCGGTACGTTTGAGCATGTTCTTTAATTTTTATTTTTTTTTTAGCCATTTTTGCCACAGAATGCAGAACATTTCTATTTTTGCCGTCGTTGGAGTCGGAATGATTTAAGATATTACGCGCATTATCTTGACACGCATCTTGTAAGTATAGCTTTTTATTACATAAAGCTTATAGCATATCAATTTTATTTCATAATTAAATCATAAATACCATCAACAAATGAAAGTAAAAGGCACTATTCATTTCATTAAATTTAGATAAAATTTAAAACAACAAGGCTTGTGATTTATGAATCCAATTTTAATAGCCTATTGTAATATTTCCAGGAAGAAGACATCGGGGAAAGTTTGACAGGTGAAAATGATGAAGATGACATTAAACCAGAATCTGCAGCTGCTAGTGGGTTATGTCGACAGCCACCAGGTCTAGAAGTAAGTGCCCTACCTTTTACATTTTGACATTACAGTATTGAATAATTTTATCAAAACCATTAGTATTATTACACTAAAATTGGATCTTATGTTGCTTAGTTGCATACAAAATTATCAACATAATGTTATGGGGCCTAAAATAAAATTAAGTTTTTTGCTTAGTTGCGACCCAAACTTTTTTTAGCCAAATTTGATTTTTTTTTTCAATTTTTCAGAATATAATGTTTTCAAATTTTGGTTTTTTACATTTTTGCCTTATTTGTAGTAGGTGTATGAAAACCTCTTTTAATTGTTATCTTACAAAAATCTAATTTTTTATTTACGCTAAAAATTATATGTGTGCAAACAAAGAATGTTGGCCTGGTACATTGTTGCCATTTTGTATTTACCGGTAAATTTTGTATTTACCGGATGACAGTAAATACACCCAGTAAATTCAAAATTTAAACATAACACTTGTTACAAATTTGATTGGCGAAAGTTACAATGCTATATACCTGTTCTGTACATTTCCATTTTTTGGTCATTTTTAGGTCAACTTATTTTCGCCTATCAGAGTTTACAAATGATATTTAGAGTACGAATTTCCAACTGGTTTAAGATAACATTTAGATATATTATAGGTCGAAATAAGGTTTAAATATGGTCAGTTAATTTTTCAAGTCTTTATATCTAATTAATTAATTTTTTTTTTCAGGAGGAGAATGAAAACAAAGAATATATTAAGGAATGCTGTGTCAATGGCCATGATACAGACACAAAGGAGTTAGAAGTCAGTAGATATTCTAAATATTCGTCAATTGTCATGGAAATAGGAAACAGCAAATATGCTAGTGAAGCACTGAAATCAATTTTTAAAAACAGGTTGTATTTTTTTTTTTTTGTAGGATGAAGTGAATCCGTACATCAAGTTGATGTTACAGCCTACTGTATTCTATGTGGAGGTCTTAATGACACAGGTATGGGGCCATTCTCACATTTCTCATCTGTCCCTTTAAAAAACTGGAAATATTGAAATTCTGTAAGTCATGAACTATACATGTATGTATTTTATTTTTAGAATCCGTTGTCATTGGTTGAAATTTGCTCTAAAAGCATCCCCACAGAGCTGACAAGAGACATGAGTCGCTTTGAAGATAAGACAACTCTCAGTGATTATGAACAACCAACAGAACAGGTATTTCCTAGGAAGTCATACTGTAAACCAACTTTTATTCGCAACGACTCAGCTTTCAATTTTCTTCCTCATTCAGTTTATACATATGAGTTTTATAATTTGTGTTTACAGAAATGCCAGAAGGCTAGAAAATGGAATTCGTCTTTCAAGTTCAAGTTCTTACGCAGAAACGTATGTAAATTCCAATGTTTCTCGTTTACATCGTGAATAATAGAAAAACTGAATCATTTTTGTATATGATTCATTCACAGCACCTGTATACTTTTACTAAAAGATTAATGGTGAAACTTGCAAACTACTCGTAACCAAAATTCATGAAGCTAAAAGTATTCACATAATGTAAGCTTAGGTATATAGGACAATTTCCACTTTAGCTTGGACTTTCAGTGAGGCGTTGCATTCTCAACGTTACATACATGTAATTAGCTTCTGAAATTTACACAGCTTTCCTTCACTGTTGAAATATACATGGGACAGAAATTTGGGCAAATGCTAATTAGTGTGTCGAATAGCCAGTAACATTGTCTCGTCCAGCAAAGAGGTGGAGCTTAAGTTGTCTCATCCTTGTCAACAACAATTTAAAAGAAAACAATTTAATTTCTTAAGTTATTTTAAATTTCTTAATCAATAATTGAGAATCTATTCGCCAATTTCACAGACGCTAATTACTTGTGTGAGCGTGACCTCTTACAAGTAAAGAAGTAGAAGTAGAATGCCACGCCTTACGGAGAGTCCAAACTTACATGCAAATAGTTCTATCTTACCTGTATTAAATGACTGATCCCAGAATATACACACAAGCTAGATTTAAAGAAAACACCAGAAAATTACTGGCAGGATTTATTAATGTTACGTATGATTGACATTTTATTTTTTTCATTTTTAGAGGAAGGATAGAGAAGACAAGAAGAGATCTCCTGGTTTCCTCTCCCGGTTTTTTCGTTAGACTTCTCCATCTTTGAACTTTGCATTCTTTAAACCTCGCACCTTTGAAGTTCTTTCACCATCTTCACCATTTTCGAATGCCCCAAAGAAACTTCTACGAATAGTACCATAGTGGAACATGTTTTATACTTTTTTTTGGAATGAACCTGCCGGATCAGCTATTAATTCAAATGAAGCTTCATCTATTTATTTCATCAAGAATAAATTATTTTATATGGAATTTTATTGCCTTCGGTTTTGTCTATACAAGAAAATTAATAAAAGATCTATAAGTAGAATTAACCTTCTAATTCAGTGTTTCTATAGGATCAACTTAAAATTCATTTTGCATTTCTAATACAAAATTATCTTCTTAATCCAGGTATTTTCTTTTAATCCAGGAGTCGCCTGTGTGGCGCTGTAGTTAGAGCGTCTGCTCTAAAGTCGCAAATTAAGTAGTTGAAGTGAAAAATTCGTAGATTCGTACGGAGTTTAGTGAAAATATTCGTTACTTTTTCGTTAATGATTTTTTTCCAAGAACTTTTCTTTTCTCTGTGATACAAAATAGAAAAGTAGTTAATACTATGGAACGCCAATATTCTAATATTTTTATCTTAGATCCCCAGCTATATAAATTTAACGAATTCCTTATACGGATATAACGAATTACTGATATAGCCATGTCATTTCATAGGTCCCAGTGATTTCATTATAACCGAGCTGTACTGTAGATGCAGGACTAGGACAGACGGACTCTTAAGAGGCCTGGGTGGTTGTGGTCATTTTTAGACTATTTTTATCTCCTTTAGAAGAAGATCTCTATATCACGATAAATACAAAAATGATTAAATATTAAAACTAAAATGTATTTTACTTTCACTTTGCTAAATGATATCTGACAGCTTAAGATTTCGTTCAAAAAAAAAGGAAGCTATGGATGTCAGATTGTTAATTTGTTAATCCCCAGCCTCCATAACAAATGATCTGAAGAGTCCGCTAGGAATTTAACGCAGAAATGTTTTTAATGATAATATTTAAATTAGTCAAATTACCAATAACAACTCATTGAAATGTTTTGAATATCATTTATTTATGATTAATCAAAGCTAAATTTTACATCAAAACAAATCCAATTGCAAAAATAAGATTTCATCGTACCATCGGGCACACAGTGCCTACAAACATTGTCATAGACAATTTATAGTTAGAAAATGAAAAAATAAATATAATTAATAAAATTTTGGCTGTCATGAAAAAATAATCCAATATGTCAAACACTAAAAAAAATTTAAAAATTGCCTTAGACAATTTGAAGTCTTCAAAAAAGGGGGAAAATTATTTATAGAATAAAAAGCGTTTCATGAAAAATTCCAACCACGGATTACAATTTACAAAAAGAATAATTTTGTTAATGACAATACATATAATTTTCCCATAAAATATATTTTAAAAAATAATAAAAAATAATTGATAAAAACAACTATCATGAAAAAATTATTCAAATACGCCAATATCACAGGCATTGTAATGAAAGACATGGTAGTTGAAGTCTCTGAAAATATCACATCTTCTCGTATCAAGAGATCAGGAACAGTTCTTGTAGTGTTTTATTTCAGTTACTTGTTGTGTTTTATTTCATGTATTCCACAACAGAGATGGTATATGCCGCAAATATCTTTGCCAAAGCAAAGATAAATAAGAAACTGGAAGTTATGAAAACCTCGGGTCTTCCAGTGCCGACTGATTTCAGCAGCTGTAAGGTGACAATCCACCAAACAGGTCGTCCATGTTGACAGTGGGCAGACTTGATTTTGTCATCTGGAAAACAGAAAATATAATTATGTTGCTTTTTTTTTTAATAAGTTATAAAAGTAAAAGCAGAAACACAAAATTGGACTACCAAGGCTTCACATAATAAACCTTAAACTTATATGTATAATTCAAAATATTTGTACATCAAATAAAAACTATAATTTTTCGTTAGAAATTACTGTTGTGTAATATAAATAGAACCTACAGGTTGGCACATGCGTCTTTTCTCGTTTACGCTGGTGCCAGTCTGAGGAGCTTGGTTATGATTTTGACTTTTGAGTTCAGCTTGTCTAGCTATCTGCTCAGCCAGAACCTTCAAGAAAATTGCAAGCATCTTAATACCGGTATATTAATTTTTTTCTCGCAATTAGTAACATTTTATCACTATTTAATCCAAAATCATACACTTTGAGCTTTACAATAGTTACCTGATCAAATGTCTGGTTGCGACTCGGTACATCAGTATGTTCCTGATACATTGCGTCATGATTTTGGTGACGCTTTGTGGTATGCGTCTGTTGACGCTCGTCTTTGTTGTAGCGTCTGTACAATGCGTCACGTCTTTGCTCCTGATTTACAGAGTGACGACTTTCTGTCGAGTACTGTTCAGCAATCATTGACTGTAAGACATAACATGTATTTATTTTATTGATACACAATATACACACATAACTGCATTGTTTTATATTCTTTATCAATCATTGGACAATCAAATTTACAATGCACATTATCAAACTATATTTTTTTTTTCCATCTACAGTTTTTAAAGCGACAGATTCATAACATTTGTTTGTTTTTATATTTCCACGTCGGAAGAAATATTTTTTGAAAAAAGAAGCATTTAGCTAATTCTTGAAAATTAAGTCTAAAATCCCTCTTACCCAATTACATGCCCGTTTCTCCGGATTCTCAGCCAATGTAGAACCAGACCCTGGTCTTTTGTTATTTGTTGGTTTAACATCAGGGCCTGTGACTGACTTTGAAATGGGCGCAGTGAATGTGGCAGGTCTAGACGTAACATTAATTACAGATTCCGTTGATGCAGGTCCTTGTAAGGACTTTGATGACTTGTTAGTTGGGTCCCAGCCTTTTGGGGCAAAGCTTGGGACATATCTTTGCGATTCAACATTTGTTGCCAGATGCTTATTCTACATAAAAAAATAAATACTAAATTATTTATTTACTTATTCAATTTAATGATATTCTTACTAATCATCTAAAAAAATATCTTAATATTTCTTCTCCTTTAACATGTTTAACAACAAAAGATTTTTACGGTAAACCATTCATGATAGAATAAGTTTCATGAGTTGAAGAAAAAAAACACACTCAAGGCATTTATATACAAATGAAATTTAAATCTTAATGTTAATAAATTTTTTGGACATTTAATCTTACATGTCATTGTATACTTCAAGCCATCAATTAAAAGTACTCACCATCTGAGTGTGTGAGGCCGCCTGGTGTCTCTCACTCATTTGATTGGTCACATTTGCCCGGTGTCTTTCAATCATTTGATTGGTCACATTTGCCTGGTGTCTCTCACTCCTCTGATTGGTCACATATGCCTGGTGTCTTTCAATCATTTGATTGGTCACATTTGTCTGGTGTCTTTCACTCATTTGATTGGTCACATTCAGTGTGGAGATTTTAGCCTCTGATACAGTGTCAGTCTTTGAGGACTGTTTGTGAGCTGACACAGCCGTCCTGAACTCTCTCGCTTGTGAGTTAGTTGGCTTGGATTCTTGGTCAAAAAAGTCGTTTGTTGGTGCGTCCCATGCTGGTAAGACCCTCCTTGCCGACTCTCGCTCTGGTTGACAATCCACCGTTTTTTCCTCCCGAGCTGGTGACCTAGTTCTGAGTGATGAGGGAGGACTGTCCAGATAACTGGTTAACCCCAGGTCCTCCAGTGTGGGAGTGGGGTGATACATTAGTGTCATGTAATCTGGAGGGGCGTACCTGTTGATCGGCTTCACCTGAGGCTGAAATTAATTACAGTATAATAAAATCGTCAAACTCTTTGATAACAAAAGAGAAAATTCGATATGAATAAGAGATTTCCATAAATTAATAAATTTTCATGACTTTTGTAAATTAATTTACCTCTTTACGCACTACTCTCTGCTGAGGCAGCTGTGCATGTTGAGGTTTGTGAGAAGCAGCTGTGCTCATAGTATTTGGATGAGTAGGATGCACTCTCTGCTGAGATTGCTGTGCATGTTGAGGTTTGTGAGAAGCAACTGTGCTCGTAGACTCAGTCCTTGTATATAGATGAGTAGGATGCACTCTTTGTTGCTGGGGAATGCTGTTCCCATTCACATAGTTAGGTCTTGTCTGAGTTTGGTACCCATGTGGGCGAGTAGGTTGCGCATGTTGCGGCTGATATGTGTTGCTGCTAGGTACCACGCCTGTCCTATAATGAGTTTGTTGCTCATGAGAACGATGGACCGGCGCATATTGCGGTCGGTAGGTGGCAGCAGTATTCACATGTGCAGCTCTTTCATTGTATCTGTTTTCATAAGGATAGTTTTGTATGAAATGATGAGGTGCCTGCCTTTCTCTCTGCTGAGACTGATGCTAGAATAAATACAACAGTATTACAGTAAATTTGTTAACAACAAAAATATTTCATATAACATGCACGATTTTATTTGAGGTATAAGAATGAAGAACCCACAAAAATGTTTCTAACTGACCCACTGTTGTCCCACTTTATCGGATCTTTGAGTGGGCGTGGTGGTCAGGGGAGCTGTGTGGCTCGCCTGCTGAACAGGACGCTTCTTAGGCGGCCCAGCCTGTAAAGGGATAAAAGAGTTTTTATTAATAATGTTTATTTGCCGTAATCTTTGGGAAAATAAATGAAAAATCCATAAAGTCTCTTCTCTGTTTACTATTTTTAAAAGATAGCAATATATGCTACAATATATATATATGCTACTTTAATTACATGTATAATTTATACATAATTTATGCAATCTAATCAACGTCTCTCCATTCGTATAATATTTACGCTGGCAAAATAAACTTACTTTTCAGATTTACAATACATGTAATACCGGGAGGTATGTACATAAATAAAAGAAAACTGAGACCTCCTGAGTCTGCCCGGAAGTAGAGGACGGGGCCAAAATGTCCAGTCCCAACCTTTTGTAAAATCTCGAGGCATCTTCCGGGGCAGGGCAGGAAACATCGACTCTCTTCTGAAAAAATAGATTTAAAAGATCAAGAATTGTGCATTAGTGTTTAAATGTAAGTATGTGTATTTATATTATCAAGATATTTGTATACATGTATGTGCATACCCGGTTTTTAATTACTTTATTAAACATGTTCACACATCTTTAATATTGTAATGCAATACAGAAAAAAGTTATACATCCTTATTCTTCGTGCAAATATTTGATTTTTTTTTCATATTTAATTTCAAACTTAGGAGACCTTTTTTTTCCTTTTGAAATTTAACAATAAACTACAACACAAGCGAGGATTTAGATTGGGGGGTGGGGTGGATATGGACCCCTTCCTCGAAATTTTATTATTAAATATACATAATGAATAATTACAAATCGACCCTGGAATCCCCCTTCCCTAGAAAACGTAGACCACTGTTAAGAAATTGGAAAAAGTCATACACGTAAAAGTGTTCAGACCCCCCCCCCTTTCCCAACTCACACACATCACTTTCATTAATCAGATTTTTACGCTTGGTAAAGTAGTTAATGGTTTTTCAGTGATTTGTAAGTAACTTAAAATTATTTATAGATTTTTTATTTTAACCTAGCCCCCAGCCCCTTTCCGGAAAAAAAAATTGATCAATCTGCCTTTGCAACACAACGTCACTCAGGCAACGGTTACCACGACGTCGTCATTGACAAAACCAAACATTGCAACTTAGTGTATGCAAAATACCTCTCCAAAAGAAAATCTCTAGCTATAACACAGTATAGCTTAGCTGTTGACTAAATTCAAATAATAGGATAAATCTCTACTGTCAAAATATTTGCAAATTTGCGAGATTTTTAACCCTGGAATTTGAATATCAGTTTATTTCGCGGAATTTCTTGATGTAAACATAACATGTCGATTAGATAAAAACAATGGAATGAACCAAAAAAATTACAAATTTCATTTAAACTTTGGTTATCTTCCCTTATTAAAGTTATAAAGTTATTTTCCATTGATTTTTAAGGAGGCAAATGGGAGAGGAGAGTGTTTAAAAGCCTAGGGAAATACGTTGGATCTCTAGCTTTTACAGTAAATCGCTTGTTTAGCTATTCTTACAAAGTAACCCACAAAAATAACATGACAAATATTGGCATTACCCTCTTAAGATCGCTTTTATTCATCTTCAAGACTTGACTTGCTCTTTTGACAATAGATATTTGGTAAAATATTCGCTTGACTGAAAACACGTCTTGTCTCTTTGACTTGTGATTCAGAACTGAGCAGTAACTACAACAGACAACGTCAGGCCAAGCAACTACAACGTCATAAACGATGAAGGGCCAATGAAACAAGGTGGTCTATCAGAACCCTATCCCCATCCCCCAAACCCCCCCCCCCCCCAACCCTTTACCACCAAAGAGAGTTACGACAAACCACAGACCGGTATGCTTATTGATCAAGTTCTGCATTTTATATTCTTCGATTCAAATAAACTTTCACCATTCTTGGATCACTGTAACTTACCTCCTCTTAGACCTCTACCTTACAGGTCAATAGTTAATAAAATAAATTCATACAACACCCATTTTCAAACGTTTTCTAAATATTATCATTGTTTACATTGTGGACAAAAATGTCGACTGCTCATTAAAAGGGGGGTCACTCTAAATAAAATAATAAAAATACGTAAGAGTTATCTTTCTTACTACGTGCATGTATGCGAACTACATGTAGCTGCAATAATGTAGCACATCCTCCCCCCTCCCCCATCTCCAAAATAAAAAAAAAATAGATTGAAAAAAATGGAGAAAGCTACATCATGTGGCTTGATTTATTTGAGTGGAACAGAATAACAGAACACAGTCACATATCATTGTATCAAAGGTAAATGGGGGCATTTTTGGTAACAAACTTTAATTCTTTGAATCTTTCAAAAAAGTTCTTTTATGTTATGTTCTACTAAAAAGGGTCTTTATCTAGAATAATAAATTTATTCTATTTTATAATAAACTTCTACAAGTTTTGGTTCGAATCCCACAGTGGGACGCGTAGACTGTCTTTCGGATGAAACCGTATAAACTGAGGTTACAGTAGGCCCCTGGATTCGTATGCATTTCTAAGAATGTTCTTACAATGTAAGTATATGCTTAAAGACTTCTTATGCATACGAACCTGGTGCTCTTTTCTACCATTTTTTTTCTACGACTGGAAAGTAATTTTTTGTCATTATTATTCTATGGGGGTCATTATTCTTCTTTACACCCCCTTAAGTGGATCCAATTTTATAGCCTTGAATTTTACATTAATATGAAGTAAAACATTTTTAACGAATGATCGAGTAAAAAAGTAAAGTCGGTATTGGGTATGATAGAACGATAGTCGAGTACTCGAATATTCGTTGACAGTCCTAAATAAAAGTAGCTGCAGAACTGTAGCTCTCCGAAAAAAATATTTCACAGATCTATCAATATATTTTTCGGAGAGCTACAGTTCTGTGGCTAAATTAAAAAGTACGCCTCTAAGTCTATCCCCTGTGTTTTGTCTACAGCTTCCATAAAAAATGAACTCAGAAATTGTCATTTCTTCTCACTGGAAATTCACTGATTTTTTTTATTTAAAAATATTCCTATTCCGACCTCGTTTGCACCTACGCTAACATGATTTCCATTTCATCAAATGGATGAAACTTCACACTTGGACAAAATAAAATGTTTTTACATATGAAAATGTGTTGATCTATAATCTTTTTTATTTAAAAATATTCCGATTCCGACCTCGTTTGCATCTACGCTAACATGAGTTTCATTTCATCAAATGGATGAAACTTCACACTTGGACAAAATAAAATGTTCTTACATTTGAAAATGTGTTGATCTTTTAATCTTGTACGAATAATATGATGAGGAGAACATTTTCAACGTAATTTTGAATGACCCTCGTACAACCTATCATTGAGTAGTTATTTTTGATTGACGTTTTAATTTAGACCAATTATAAGGTAATTCTTTTGTATTGCTTTGACTACGGATAACGCTGTCTTTTCAGAGGGCTCACGAAAGGGATGGTTACTCCTCCTCGATACCTGATCCCACCTCTGGGTTTATGAAATAATTAACGTTTCCGGCATGTTACATGATTCTAAAGCATTTAGGAATAAAACTGTTCACTAATTGTGATAATGCCAAATCGTACATGACATTATGGAAGGTGTGTTCGATAGTCTGTTGACCCATATCAGGTCATACGGGGCATTCACCTATATGTAATATACCAACAAAACACTTGACACGTTCTTAATCTTGTTTTCATCGAAATACATCGACATGATCTATCACTAACATTTAACATGAAAACAAGTGATAGGAATGACTTGTTTCAAAGATACATTTACAGTACTCCCTCTTGTTATACTGAGTACATAGAAATAAATGACAAGGTACGGTAATTACCTAATCTGGCCCCTTATTCAGATGTACATGTATCTATCAGAACCTAGTTAAAACTGTGACAGTTTGTAGTTAAGAACTTAATTAATTTGATGCTTGTTTTAAAACCAGCACTAATTTTGACTCAAAGCTTACAAAGAGGCCACAATAGGGTCAGAAAGAGGACATTTGCCTTAATTCTCTCAATTCTGGTAGAAATTCGTCAAATTTGAGAAACTCTTTACTTTGGAAAGCATAGACCACAAGTTTGCCTATCTGAGATTTTTACACACAAGATGAATCTTATACTAGTGTATGAAATGCATAAATTTGGTAGATATAAGCAAGCTTGTACTCTATTTTTTCTGAGAAAAAAATTGTGCCGTAAAATAGATTAAAATTCGTATTAAAATGAGAAAATTTTATTTCCTGACCTTCCTTTAAGCTCTGTGTGTCCTTTAATTAGAACCAATACTCATTTTGTGGCAGGGATGATAAGTAGTTTTCATTTTATATATATTTATATATATTGTTGCACCATTCTAAAAGACATCTCAAACCAGGGGTCAAAAAGTGGCCTAACCCTATCTTGTCCTTTGTAAATTAAATGTTGAAACATCTGTAGGAGATGCTAATCTTTCGTTAAAAGAAATGATTTAAAATAAAACTAGGTATGATATACAGCGGCTTAAAAATTAAATATAAGAAGGAATCCTGCATAAGCCGGTTATCTATTTTTTCTGCAACATGTACAGCTGCGACATTAATCCTAGTAACCAGGAAACCATTTTATCGTTTAAATTCCATCATGAAGTATAGAAAATAAGACAATTTCTCATTTAAAATGCACACAAATTGATGAACACGTTTTAAAAGTAATACTTTCAAGCAGACGGACACGTTTCTGATGAGACACTCTGACACAGGCAACATAGATTACATGTATCTGATATATTTAAACTATGCATGCTTCAACCAAAATTATTAATATCAACACACAGCTTTGCACTTAGTTTAGATAATTCAAGGCTATGTCTTTTTACCACATGGAACCCCAGGGATACCATAAGGAACCCCCAGGGACACCATATGCAATCTTCAGAACATTTATTCTAAATTTGGTTTATATGCAGTTGTAAATGACAAAAAATGTTTTTGAAGAGCAAATTAACATTTTAATTGTCCTAATCAGAGAAGTTTTCAAAGTTGAAAATTTTATAAAAAGTAGTATATTTACATAATTAAGCTCAATTACGCAATCAATGTACAGTTTTGAGGAACTCTAATAATATCTTATATGGTGAAAAAAAAATAATGTTGGTTTTGAAGACACTACCCTTTCTTTGTTAAACATCATAATCGATGTGACATGAAGAAAAACACAGATATTCTTTTACGCATGATTTATTTGTTTGAGCACTTTTTGAGGAGCACTATCCGGATATAACATGTAGAAAACAATGCATTCATTTCTCTGACATACATTCATAAATAAGCAATTGCACACAAATATTTATACCACCATTATATAGAATATATTAACGAATTAACAAAAGAAAAGAAAAACTTCTATCAGATAGACATTACATAAAAGTCTGAATCCTCAGCTCTTCTTCAAATCATTAATGTGCCAGGTATTACTTAATAAAAAGCAATGCCTCTCAAAATTCAACATTAAATGGATACTACAAAAAATTATAAAAATTTAGCATCATGAAAAACTTTTCTTCAATACATGTACCGGTAATTATGGTGAAAAACTTTGAAATGTAACAACCAGCATTTTCCAGTGCAACGAAAATCAACCATATTTTACCTATGTATACCACATTATTATCTCATACACATACAGTGAAAATATAAATAATCTCATTGGAAAATGGAATGTACAATATTATGATATTCCATTCTATGAAAGATTTCCATCCATGCACTCTGAATCAGTGTTTGTTTGGCAGCCACTGTATGTAATTTGGACTTTTCACTAATCTCAATATGAAATTGATTGTTTAATTAATATCGCTGTCCTTCACTCAGCTGGTAATGGATTCATAATTTGATTGGTTATTCCTGTTTACTGTTATACCATTTGTTTCATGCTCGATTTTGTTTTGGTGCTTGTATAATTTGGCCTTATTTAAAGGGGGACCTGGAAAAGAAAATATAATGATCATTACAGGAATAAAATTATGATTTTTTTTTCACCTTCAAAAAACAAGACAATCTTGTTTACTTTTAGGAGAAATTTAAAATAAAACTTGTACATACCTATATAACTTAACATAACTGGCAAGAAGATTAATCCATGAGTTGCCCCATACACAACCATAGCTAGATACATTCTGAAATAGAACACTTGGAAGAGTTGGGACTTGGAGAAAGCTAGTACGATTATTCCTCCAAGCTTGGTGAGTGTAATTCCACTCAGAACCTGAAAGGATAAAGAAAACAAGTGAAATGTCATGCTCTTGTCATTTTTCCATATACACAAATTTTGTATAAAAGTTAAAAATTTTTTTAGAACTCTAAGCAAAATAATTACAAATAATTATAGTCAGCTGCATTAAAGTATGAACATGACGGAAAACAAAAAATAATTTATTTCCCTAACGAATTTTGAAAATGATACTTTTCCAATTTCATGACTTACAGAGCTGCCCATGTGTGCTAGAGAATCCCGAGCCCGCTCCACTCTAGTGGGCTGTAAACTGACAGCAAATGCCCGGGTTATGTGGGCACAGAATTCCACAGATATACCAATAGCCTGAAAAAACAAAACAAAAAACAATTATTTCAGAATTAGATACAAAATGTTTCCATATCTACTGGATTTGTTAAGTCTTTAACTTAAGGCTGTTTTTAAGACCCATGATAAACTTTTCATCCACATTTACCATGACTAAGTTGACTAGAGACACAGCATTAAGAGTAATGTCCCACAAGTACATGAATCCCAGGATGTTGACCACTATCATCCCTATGGTGATGAGGATCATGAGGGCTGAGAAGAAGTCGAAGCCCAGGAGGAGGAAGGTGACCACAAAGATGGCACCGATACAGATACACAGGTTCTCAATGGTGTCCTTAACAATGGAGAGATACTGCTCATAGAACACGTACCAAACACTGAAAATAGATGGAAAACATTATGAGTTCCAAAATGCTCACTTTAAAATCATATGTTTACAGTAAAACTTGGTAATAACCAATTCACTAGGACCACTGTATCCGTAATTCGCTATATCCATATAAGAAATACATTAAATTTTAAAGCTGGGGATGAAAGATACATGTATCTTAGCTATATCCGTGAATTCGCAATATCTGTGTTCATACTAAACAAGTTTTACTGTAATTTTTTTTTTACCCCTCTACTACATTAGCACATAAATTTACTGTTTATGTGATTCGCTGCAGCTACAGAATCAATGCATATTACTTCCTATTTTTATGAAAGAAATTCCGACTTGTATATTTAACACCAGTCTCACCTGTATGGGAACACAGTGATTTTGTCGTTCTTAAGCATGGTCCTCAGCGTGTTGGTGATGTTATCTCCTATCTTTCTGGCCATCTTTAATCCACTAATATAATCCTCATTCTCCGTCATTATTGTGTGATAAGTCATGAAATACGTGGCTAAAATTCAATAATTTTTTTTTTAATTTCAATGAAAAAAATGAAGTAGGGCAAACTGACCATGGTTCGGACGGTTCTTGTTTTGCTTACAAGCAATAAGCTGTTGTTCCGAGTGACAGTGGTCTAGTCTTGTACTATCAACTGGAAAGTGTTTTGGAACCTTTCGGGTTTTATCAATTGTCAATATATCACCAAAACACTGAATAACTCTGTTCCAACTAGAAGTTAAATTCATCGAGCGATTTTTACCATGGTTCGAACGTATCTGACCAAGGTTCGGACAGGATAATATACAGTAAACAAATGTTTTTTTTTTTTTTTTAAATAACAGATATGCAATATTTACAGGCTCGTAATAGCAATCTCGAGCCCCCCCCCCCCCCCCCCACTTCTAAAACATAACATTTTACTACTGAAATTTAAAATTATAGATATTCATTAAAAGTCTGTCCCCTTCTTTTGTTGTAGCATTGTTACATCGTAGTGTTTTGGTTATACATTCCGACCTTTGATAAAATTTAAAAGTGAAAGAAAGTGTGACCCCCTTTCGAGTTCGGACCATTTTCCTTGGGGTTGTTCGTTTGCTTCATTTTTTAAATTTTATTTTCGTGTCAAAGTTTTATCAGATAAGTTGTTAATTTATTTCTTCTGATTTCCCTCCCAAACCCTTCAAAATCGATAGTACGTGTCTGATTTCTTTCAAATACTACATATAGAGTCGCATGACATAATAAGAAACCTCCAATAAGATTTTAATCATATATTTCCCATTCTTCATAAAAATCTGTTGGTTTTTTTTAATTTTAAACTAGCCCTCTTTTTCTTTATCTCTCTTTCCTCTTTTTTGTATTCTAGTTTGTCTTTAAAAGTATCAAATGGCGTATGGTGACAAAAGTTTCGTCATATTTGGACTTATGTCGCAGTTTCAATTTCAGTAAGAAATCATCGCCGTAGTCAGCTGTATCGACTCTGATATCTGATAACTACGTGCTGCGAGAACTTCAAGCAACTGACAATCGTTTGAGTTCGTCTGTAATTTGCAATGAAAACACACTGAAAAAATAATATTAAGAAATCCATTTCTATTGATTGATCACCCCTCCCATTTTCTTCGACTGTAACCTCAAATATGTCGAAGGTTTCCTTAAAAAAACGAGACTGAAATTGTGGAATTAAAAAAAAATTAATTGTATTTAAATGTTATTGATTTCGCTAGTTCTTGCTCTCTCGATGCATATTTGTAAGGCCATGTTTCACTCGAAATCACCATTTGTTTCTAATACCACCGCATATTCCAGCAAAGCAAATATAGTTTTGCTTTAGAAGATCTGATTCCTTTGTTTGCAAGTTCGTGTAAGCTTCAATCTTTTCGTCTTCAGTGGAAAGCTTGGGCTTGGCATCGTCTCTTGCTAATTGTACTAAGAGGGATTCATATAGGTTTATGTCTATACCATGTCCCATAACAAGGTAGCGTGTGTTACAAAGTATTCCCCCCCCCTCCTCGAATATACCACGAGGTCCAAGGATTTTGTTTAACACACCCTTAACATTGGCATCGGAAGCAAATTGAAAGTGGGGGGGGGGGGGGGGGGGGGGGGCAATGTGTAAAAAAAAAAACACAGGGGTGGGGGGGGCGAACTTCAGTACCAATTTTTTTTTCCAAACACCACCACTTTCCCAATTTTTACCCAATACTAAGACATATCTGTGGAAAGTGGGGAGGCTAAACCTCCGAAGATATGTTCAATGTCTATACTAAGTATATATTTGTAAAAAAAAAAAGTTCCCCGGTTCCGACGCCTATGCTTAAGAGCCGATCATTGTCAGGATAACCTTTATCCCTTTTGTAATAAAAAAAATAAAAAGTATCTTTTTTCTGTTTTTTTTTATTACAAGCAATGAGTTTTAAATTATTATACTTCTGGGCTGTCGACAAGTTGTTCGAATTGAAATGCAATTTATTTTTGCTAGGGGTGTTTTCTTCAACTTTCTTCCGCCTTTTGCAGGTTGGCCCTCAGTTAATTTTCGTTCTAAATAAAGAAATGACCAATGCACACGGCGGAGATTAAATCTTTTCTCTGCATGTCAGTGCACGATTTTCATAAACTGCAGTAGCATCAATGCATGTCTTTCTGATTATTGCGTTCATGATTTGAACAAATAATACACTAGTTATCTAGCACCAAAATACATGTAGTACATCTATACCGAGACCATACACACCCTTCATTATGACGTTTTCCATTTTTTATTCTGAACTAGGGATTATTATTTCATTGTATAAGAAATCTACAATTACGAAGTCTACATGTATTAATTAAAGATGTAACCGGCACTTGTTCATTTCTAAACCAATCAAAAGTTCTTTGTGCTATATAGGGATTTGTTTTGAATGCTAGAAATAATAGTATTATAATTAATGAATTGGTTTAAATTTCAATTTATTGAACATCATTTACTTAATCAATAGAATTAATTAATTTTATTATATCAAAAAATTGAAAAGTGCATATAATAATATCATATATGTTTGAGGAGCCCATTCTCATTTTGATCGATTGAAAATACTATACTGTAGTACACGTATGTACATTTAAAAGATATAAATTTTTATATATAGTTACATGAAGTATAATTTTTTTAAAAACAATATTATTATCTATATGCTTTGAATATCAATCACGTAATTTACTCACTCTCTGATATTTTTAATTAAAGGCGATTTAAGTAGCTTTAACTTTGGTTTGCGCAATGTACGAATCATGGTCATCTGGTGTACGAACCTAGGTACATTTAATTATCAGATTTCGAGGAAGATTTCACAACAAAATATAGAAAACAGCTCCTACAATTTTTGACTAATAGGAATGATTAATCACTCAGAACGCAAAAGACATAAATCATACTGGTTTAATAAAGTAGAGTCTCATTCATTTGATTTTACTTGCAAGTGTTTGTTTACTTTTCCCTTAAACTGCTGACGCAAAACAAACTACACATGCCCTACAATCGTAGCGCCACCACCGAGTATTGAGTCACGTGATAAACACGGGGTCTTGACTAAATAAAAAGTCCGATCGCTAAGATTGATATATTTCCGTATTATGCTGATAACCGATTTATTTAACTGAAAAAAATAACGGTAAAGTTGTCCGAACTTAGGTCAATTTTTCTGTATGTCCGAACCATGGTCAGTTTGCCCTATGCCAAATATATGCAAGACTATACAAATTTCTTAACTAAACAGTATACGAAACATTACCTCCAACATCGGTTTTGTTTTTAATAAGGTTAACTCCACTGCCATATGCTGCATGTCCACTGTTAAAAAAAAATCAGCCTTTAGTAAACATTACTGTTGCAAGAACAAATTCATTTATAGCATTATATGGATAAGTCTGAAAAAAGTTCTGCACTGTTCTAAACGAGAAAGTTTGCATGAGATGCTGCATATTCTTCTGACAATGTTAAGGGAATCTTACCCTTTAGCACACTTTGTTCCTGGGTTGTCTTTCAGGAACCATGGCAGGTACTTCATAAAATCTACCTTATTTGGTCTTCCATGTATTGACTTTCCCATTGGACACCCAATACAAGTAGAACTGTTGTCTGGAAAAAAGAAACCAAAGAAATTTATGTTTGTACCTCTTTTCCTTCATGAAGCAAGTAGCTTGATAGAGGTTATGAATGAGAGGGGGTTATAGCTAGGGGATGGGGGGTATAGATTCTACTTACCCATGGAGGGACAGAACCCATGTGTTTTACTGTTTTCTCTGCAGCATGGGGGATCACCTCCGGGGGAGAGCCAACTCAAGTAGTCGTCTAACCAAGAAGAGGTCGGCTGTGCTATCTTTGTGCTGAAATTATTCATTTATGTTTTTGTATTTCATTCAATGTACTCTGTAAAAAATTCTACAACACACTTTTCACTTACAATTTTACAAACACCAAGCCCCATAAATGGATAACTATCTTCCAAAATACATGTTGAGGCACATGTCAAAGTTTTACAAAAAAGGTAGTCTTCTTTTACCATAAGCATTACTTATCATAAAGCAATACTCAAGATTTAAATATTTTAACAAGTGTCACAAAATACATGAAATATATTGAATATTTCTTTTTTTTTCAGAGTTAAAACTTACTAGCTAGGTTGTCCAGAGGCAGTAAATAGTTGACCCACAAGAGAATCCTGTGGACAGCCATTCCCTCCACAGATTGCATTCTGGCCTGACAGCGATTTGTAATCTAGTCCTTCTTCAACCACAAAATATACAGGGGCACCTGTATGTAAGTAGGCACTCAGGTTCTTAAAGTAGTCCAGGACGTATGAATCCTGCAGTAACAGAAATAAATACTGTACATAAAAGTCTCATTGATTAGATAGATGAGAAAATGTACCACATTTAAAATATTATAAAAAATTTAGATCTTTACTCCAATATTAATAACATATAGAGAAGTATTTTCCCTAGATAGTTAGCAAAGGAACAAAATATAAATACAGGTTTTCATAGATCTTCCAACAAATCTTTTTTTTTTGGAAAGGGGGAGGGGTAAATTTCTTAATTGATAGATAATTTGTGAAAGCTAGTCAATAAACGTAACTTTCATAAGATCTAACACATACGTCTGGCATTGAGAGCTTCTGGTCCAATCCAATACCGAGTTTGTGAATAACAGCTCCACTGAGGCAGAAATAAAACGTAAAGATGGTGATCTATAACAGAAACAAGATTTCTAGACATAGAGGCAGCCTGGCAGTCAAAATATATCTGAATGTGAGTTTAAGCAATTTTTTTTTACAATTATAGAAAAATGACTATTTATATAAATTACTACTGCATTATTTTATAATCTGAAAAAAAAAAATGGCCCAGTATGAAATACTTGACTTACATGTATTACCAATTCCCTGACTCTTAAAGGGAACTGTTCTAAACTGTTTATATAAAATCATAAAACCTTTTTACTGAATTGCTGATGTGTATGTTGGATGGGGGTGGGTTGGGGGTAGGGGGGTGCTTACCACTATAGGTCTGACCCACTCCTTCAGTAGAAAGTGAGAGTAGTAATCTTTGACAATTTTATAAAGACATCCTCCCGAGTTTCCATCCAGGGATTTCTGGTTCGACACTTTGATGAAGCAGCACATGTCAAATCTGTTGTCCTGTTTAAATGTATTGCACAATATAAAATCAACCTACATGTAAGTACAAGAACTTTGTTTTTATAAGACATTCATTTCAGTCATGTAAATGCTATACAAAACATAACTAAACCTTAAAAAAGATTTACCAGGTACTTAAATATGGAGAGAAAAATAATGAAGAATAAGAATTTATTAAGAAAAGAGACTTGTGTCTCCTGAATACAGTATATTACAAAAACTTCAATACTTTCTATAACAAGCTTTTCTTTGTATTTGTTTACCTTTTGTCGTTTGGCATCAAGTGTCATGAGAGCAATAAACACAGTGATCTGTAGGAGGAAATCAAAGAGGACAGCCTGGGCCGCATAAAGGGAGAAAACTCTTACGGCAGGCATGTTAGTCAAGGCACCTAGGAATATAAAAGTAAATTTGAAAAATTAACACATTTTTGAAAAAATTTCCACCTTCCTAATCCTAGAGCACATGTACTGGAAATAGCAGAAATTATACTACAGTTAGACTTGTTTATGAAGAACTCACTTATAAGAAAACTTCAATTATTAGAAAATTTTAGATTATTCCTGTTGGAGACTCATTACTTTAATTCTTACATGGGTATGAATTGTCTAGATTATAAGAAATTAAAATTTGGAGTCCCATTTCCTTGATATTAAATGAGTTTTTATTTAAGTACCATCTGCTTCAATGTGCAAGTCAAACAAAACAAACAAACTTCACAAGGTCATCTTATAAGACTAACATTTTAAAACATTAAAAATGAGCCAAAACTGTAATTTGATCTCTTACACGATATTGCATAATACTAGTATATAACTTGAGAAAAAAATCATAAAACTGACATGAAACTCCAACAATTCATTTCCTTCTCAAATTTTAAATGAACGCTTAAAACTATTTAAAGTGTATTAAACAGCTTCCTGTACATTACATAACGAAGCTTTACAAATGTTTAAGCAGGAATATACTGGGTGCAATACCTTACATGTCTCATTTTTAATTATTTTTTAAACAGAAAACCGTGGGTCTAAAAATATCAATTAGGACACGTAAAACTTGTAAAGTTTGGGGTTTATATCAGCCAGGGTTTTTTTTTTTACAAAAGTATTATTTGCAACCTTCTAAACCTAGAATTAACTTCCCAAAATAAGCCCTGCATGATTAGATGAACTATCAGCATTTATTAGATTTCTATTTATAAAGTTTTAATCTATTGACAAATAAAGCTTTTACTAGTTGAAAATATATCCGTAAAAAATATTATTGCTTCAATTCATTTAATTTTACATATTTTTTCCAGTACTAAGTCACTCACCTAAAAAGAAGGCAATGGACTCGGAGAAACTAGATAACATCATGCTGGGGCCAACCTGGCCTAAAATTCTACCAATCTGTTCCTCAATACTTTCATTGGGTCTTCGCTTGTCCCTCTAAAAATTATCAAAATAAAATGTAAATTTTTGGGGGAAATATTCATCAGGAATGTGCACAATACTCATCTGAAGTTGAAACATTAGATTGATAGTAAATTACTTTACCTGAAAAGTCTGCACTAAAATAAATATGTTGTCCACTCCCACTGCCAGCACAAGGAAAGGCACCACCTCTATAATGATGAGGGTAGCCGCAACCCCACAGTAGCTGAACATCCCCAGGGAGGAGGACACAGAGAGGAGGACAATCACGACCCCCGCCAAACCCAGGGTGATCTTAGCATCCATCTGTCAATACACACAATCAAAGCTAAATGCATGAGAATCATGCAAGATTGATGCAAAAACAGTGGTTTAGTTTTTTCATTGTGAGAAAATAAATTGCTGTATTTATTTCATAAAAAGAAAATACCCGAAGCTATGTCCTTGATTAGAAAAATATTACAGTCATAATTTTAAGAAATTATAAATTAACAAACTGTAAAATATTACATCTATGTTTATGCAAAACATCTTTAACAACAATTACAGAACAGTCAAAATTTATATTAGTGGAAAGAATTTTTTGGCAAAGAGCCAAAGGGTTATATATGTGTGTGTATAATGTGTATAAAATTACCATCAGTTTAGGAATAGAAAAGTCCACACAGTCTCTGTATTGGCCCAGTGTAATAGCAATATAACCAAACATGATCAGATAGGAGGCCAGAATTGTCAGAACATCAGAGTTACTTTCTCTGTTAATCTCATCCTCAATGGAACGCTAGAGTGAAAATAATATTCATATTATTATACACGCATTACGTTGATCACAATTCAGTAAATACTGTTATAGGAAAGCTTTTAGAAAGACTATATAAACCTTGCTTCATTATATCTGTTATTCATTTCTGTGAAATCACTCATTTTCGGGGGGGGGGGGGGGGGTTAATTTTTGTTGATTCTGTGGTATGAAGAATCTTATGAATTCATTTACCCTGGGCATGAAATCTTAAAATTTCATACTACATGTACAGGTTTTACAATATCACAAAATCAAATATTCTTGAACCAATATTTTATCCTCATACCCCCAATCTCTTTTCTTTTATCATGTGTGAAAACTAAAACTGGCTATACAACATTTCTTATAACAAGAGGCCCACGGGCCTTATAGGTCACCTGAGCATTATGCAACAACTTTCCAATTATTGAATTTGATTCATGTTTTAAGCCAGATGCTATATGGCATTCACAATTTTGAAAGAGGCACCACTGATCATCATAACAATACACTTAGCAGTTGCTTAGCTTGGTTACTGAATACCCATACGCAGGGTAGGGGAACAAAAATGCATTCCAACTAATCAGTAATATTCAGCAATAAACAGTAGTGCTCCTAACACTGTGTCAAAAACCCCTGACCCTAGGTCCACACATTGCACAAATTTTAAAAAGGCACCCTTAAAATTGCCTATCAAAAAATAAATAAATGTTTTATAAATACAAAGGAGCAGATTTCAAACAATTAATTCATTTTCAGTATATAAGTATAGCCCCCCCCCCCCAACACTGACCCTGGGGCCTTGAAATTCACAATTCTGCAAGATTAGGGCCCTTGCTCATCATAACTATATAGGTAGTTCATCTGCTTCATACCCAGAGACAGAGAAGAAAATTTTCAAAGATTTAATGTATTTTCACTATATAATCAATAGAGCCCCACCCTAACACCAGAACCCCTGACCCTGGGACCAAAAAATTCACAATTTTGATTGAGGCACTCTTGTTCATTATAACTATGCACTTAGTTAGTTTATTTAATACCCAGGAGCAGAGAAGAAAATTTAAAGAATTCATGTATTTTCACTATATAATCAATAGAGCCCCCCCTCCCCCCCTCCTAACACTAGAAGCCTTGACCCTAGGGTCATAAAATTCACAATTTTGGTTGAGGCATTCTTGCTCATCATAACTATGCACTTAGTTAGTTTATTTAATACCTAGGAGCAGAGAAGAAGATTTTTAAAGAATTCATGTATTTTCACTATATAATCAATAGAGCCCCCCCAACACCAGAACCCTTGACCCTGGGGCCATAAAATTCACAATTTTGGTAGAGACACTCTTGCTCATCATAACTATGCACTTAGTTAGTTTATTTAATACCTAGGAGCAGAGAAGAAGATTTTTAAAGAATTCGTGTATTTTCACTATATAATCAATAGAGCCCCCCCCACACACAACAGAACCCTTGACCCTGGGGCCATAAAATTCACAATTTTGGTAGAGACACTCTTGCTCATCATAACTATGCACTTAGTTAGTTTATTTAATACCTAGGAGCAGAGAAGAAGATTTTTAAAGAATTCATGCATTTTCACTAGAGCCCCCCCCCCCCCCAACACCAGAACCCGACCCTGGGGCCATAAAATTCACAATTTTGGTAGAGGCATTCTTGCTCATCATAACTATGCACTTAGTTAGTTTATTTAATACCCAGGGGCAGAGAAGAAGATTTTCAAAGAATTCATGTTTTTCCACTATATACATGTATAATCAATAGAGCCCCACCCTAACACCAGAACCCCTGAACCTGGGGCCATAAAATTCACAATTTTGGTAGAGGCACTCATTCTCATCATAACTATGTACTTAGTTGGTTTATTTAATACCCAGGAGCAGAGAAGAAGATTTTCAAAGAAATAATGCATTTTCACTATATACTTAATATTTAGCCCCGCCCTAGCACTAGAACCCCTGACCCCAGGGCCATGAATTTCACGATTTTGGTAGAGGACTCAATGCTGATTACAATCATGCAAACAGTTTGACTGCTTGATGTCCAGGAGTAAAGAAGAAGATTTTTAAAGATTGCATTAATTTGAATGGTTTTGGCCCCACCCCTCAGGCCCCAGGGGGGCAGGGATCATGAAATTCACAATTTTTGTTCCCCTTCACCCATAGATGCTTTGTGCCAAATTTGGTTGAAATTGGTTCAATGGTTGCAGAGAAGAAGCTGAAAATGTTCAAATGTTAACACATGACGCACGACACACAACACACAACACACGACGCACGACGACGGACGAAAACGGATAGCAATAGGTCACTTGAGTTTACTCAAGTGACCTAAAAACTTACTTCTGAGGAATATGATACAGTCATGTCTGGACTTGAGAATGCCTTCATGTGTTCTATGAATGCCTTCTCCCAAGCTTCTGCCTTCTTATTCTTTTCTTCATCCAAGTGATTATTTACAATAAATGTAATGACAATGGCCTCCGATGAGTTGTGGTTGTCTCCTGCAAAAATAATTTAAGTTCAAATCATAGCAAGAACAGAGAACATACCTGCAAACTGTATACACAGAGTGCATGCAGCAAAACCTTTCTTGAAAAGTTTCCAAGCTATTATGTTGACAAAGCTAACACAGAAGTGTATACCTACCATCAAACCCTCCCAGTGCAATCCATGGGAAGATAGGCTGATCACTCTCTGCTAGACAGCTTATGTTCAGTCCCACAGTGTCCTGTGTTGATGCAGGTGCCCTGAAAGGAATTACAAGTCATGTGTTATCAAGAAAGTTACTCAAATTGTATGTGCATGACATAAGCTTTATACAAACATCTGATGCAAAATGAAATCCAGTTGTAGGCAACTTGCGCTACTTGTACATGCTCATGTTGCATCCCACCCCCCCCCCCCCTCCTCCCCTTAGGCAAAATGAGTTCAAACATTTTGCAAATTTGACCTACTGTAAGCAATATCTTAGATGATCAAGGTAGTCAGCTAACACAAAGAAGCCATATTCATCCATTTTGACTTTATCTATTTCTGTATGGTTGTTTTGGAAGTACTGTAGAATGCTTTGGATGGTACATTTTGTGTTGTCTGGAGACAAGGGCTGAAAACAAATGTCCTCCAAAGTGACTTTTTCCCCGTTGTATTCTGCTGTGATATTCTCAATGGCCAACTGTAGATCTAAAACCTGAAATGTATTTAACAAGTGATTTGCATGTATTCGGTATATTTATAATGTTAAATCACAGATTTTTGTGAGGGGCTTAATATTCTTTGTTTTCAAATTTCAAGGTATGAAGAGTCCCACTTATTTATTTCCACCACATAATACATACTTTCAAAAGTATTAGTATGATCAATTCTTCAACTATTCAAATTAAAATCCCCATATACTAATATATTTTCTTCAAACCACGAAAATTTGACCCCTAGAAAATATGTGATTTTCCAGCAAGTGAGATAAAATTTTGACAATTTCTGGTTAATGTTAGATACAAATCAATCTACATTAAAAAAACAACAACACAGAAATGAATTTTTTGTGAGTATTCCATCTCAAACAATAATGAGAAAATAAAATTGTGGCATTTAAAAAATGGTACTCAGTATGTGGGGCCTTACCAAGTGAAGGAACTCCTTGTCAAAGAGGCTGGTATAGTTGACAACTTCTTCTGAGGGTGGAGGAAGCTTATGTGTGACAACGGTCTTGTTATGGGGACGAGTTATAATTACCTGCTCTGTTCTATAAAAAGGCCTGCAATATACCACACACTAGTTCATTAATTTCCTATTTCCATAAACATTATGTACATAAGTATATATTTTTAGTTAAAGAAGTATTAAGATTGTGTATACTTTAGGTATTAAAATATATGAAATTGAAAATAAAAATCTAGCTATATAGACTTCGTACATGTCCTGTGGTTTAATCTTTTTTACCTAGAAAACCAATTTGTTTTGTTTTTGAGGTTGAACCAGCTAGCTCACAAAATAGGTAAAATTAGGCAACAAACAAACTACATATATCATGTATATATTAACTAAATGATAGAATTTGAAAAAAAATATCTGTCCTCAAATTTAGATATCTATAAAGTTTTGTTTGACAAATTAAGAAAATTTGATCCACGTGGAAATTGACGAAACTATTGTAAATATGTATTACAATAAATCTGAAATATTCTATACTGTACCCAAAATGAGAATCAAAATAGTCCCTCTCTGTCCTTGCCCGGCTGTCTTTGGCTGACCAGAGCTTGACCGGATCAGTGGTCACTCTGAAGACAGCAATACCAGCAGATAAGGCACCAGCTATGGCTAGACCCAACACTATTATTAGAATAGGGTGTCTTGCACAAAATGTACCCCAAGCCCGGAAAAAAGATTCTAATTTGCACTCCGTCCAAGAACCAATTTTCTCTAGGCAGTTGATATCTGCATGTGATACTTTTGGTAAATTTGACATCTGGTCTTGTGATCCATATCTGGCTCTCTTCTTTTTGTCACCATTAACACAGAAAGCTCCTGTATAATCCTCATCATCGCTGTCCAATCGTGAGTAGGTATCCATAACTCCCAAGGAGTTCCGAACCAAGACATTGTAGCAGATGACATAAATATAGAAGAAAAGATTGAAGGCCAGAAATATTATGGCAAAGACAAAGTAGTAGCAATCAATGTGTAGGATTGTACAAGGCTTTGGTTGAGGAGGAATGGGGGGTACTGGAGCACAAGAAGTTTCACAATCCTGACAACTGCACGCTGATCGATTCTTGTACTGCATGTTACAGGGTGTGATGGTGTAGTTCATGGGAACGTATGTTGAATTGTGTGTTGAATTGTCAGCTACTGTGACATTATTATCCCCAATTACAAAATTAATCCCAAATGGAGTGTGGCCATTAGCCGTTGAACCCATGTAGGTGAGCCAGGATTGGGCTGTGCATTGTGCCGCTGGTCTTCCGCAGAAAATGCTGAGAGCTTTCTCATTGGCTGAGGGCATTTGGACATCTTTGCAGGAGTTGTACATTCCTTGAGCATATTCATTTGTCAGATAGTAAGCGACTGCTTTGACGTATGTTCCGTTGTTTCCATCCACTGTTCCGTTGATTCGGAGGAAATCACTCTGACTGGGACCACAGGTAAGATAGCAGTACAGGTTCAGGAAGTTGTTGTAACATGATGGACATCTTAAGAAAAATTGCTGAGGGAGACCCATGTTGGACTGAAGGGTACGTAACTGGGCAACATCACAGCATGTTTCTGTCTGGTTTCCTGGAGAAACACAATAAAACTGCCCAAATGAAAAAAAGGGGGAAACAAAATACTATAACAAACTACTTACAAAACATATGTTTTGAAAGTGTTTTGATAGTATAGCAAATCACATGCAAATGAGCTAACAAAACACTATAACAAGTTACTTTGAAAACACTCTAACAAACTACTAACAAAACGCTTTAACAAAATACTTACGAAACACTCTAACAAACTACTAACAAAACACTGTGTTTTGATAGTATTCCATTAGTATAGAAAATCACATGCAAATGAGGCTAACAAAACACTCTAACAAAATACTAACAAAGCATAAGTAACAAATCATCAATAAACCACTAAATTTGAATTTTTAAAATTATAATTAGCAAATTCACAAGTCTTTGAAAACATCTAAACACAGTCTCATATTGAAACATTACATGTATAAACATCTTGTTTCACAGTATTTTGAATTCCAGGTTTGACATTATTGTTCAATAGACAAAAGCACACCATTCCAACATTAAAAAACACCAAGTTCGATTCATGATCACTCTCTTATATCAATCATTCTCTGCAGTGAAATCCTTTGGTGTAAGAGATATAATTCTCAATCCATTGACCATTTCTCCATTCACATACATTTTCACAGAATTTTCAAGTATAATTATAATTCATTTAACCCTGTGCTTAAAACTGATCTAAGCTGGGTAGTATATGGATTAAAGGTCGATCAATCTTAAAATGAACAAAAACCCAATAAAAACAGGCCATATACACATCCACATTCACAGATTGAAGGTTTAACTGTAGTCCAGTTTAAAAGAACTTTATGTCATGCAATAAATAAATACCTCTGTTATATCCAGATTCATCCTGATTTTGCTTTTTCCAATCAGGGATCAATATATATACTAACACTTTACATGTCCCTTCACCAATCTCTTTGTTTCTCTCTGACCTAGTGCTGGTGGTTTGAAAATTGGCGCAAAACTAGTAACACAGGATATAAATAGATAAGTTGTTCTTGGAAGATTTTACTGCTCTTAGATAAGTCAACCCTTAACATGTCTGTTAATCAAATGAAATGCTAACAAAATATTAATTTGATGCAGACAAGTATAATGAAACACTTTCAAAATGCAATTTCATTCTGCAGAGTGTAATGAAACATTAATAAAACACCAACATTGTAATGAAACATTAACAAAATACCATGCCACCCCATCCTGTAAAGTATAGCATTGATGTTTCGTTAAATGCAACACTTTCAAAACATACTAAGAAAATATAAAAGTATGATTTGGTAGTGTTTTGAAGATATTTTGAAAGTATTTTGTTAGATTTCTTTTTCATTTGGGTGTATTAGGGGAATACTATATAGAAACACAAATTTTTGTGGGGATCAAATTTCGCTGATTTGTTAACTAAAATGGTTTCATGGGCAATAAATTTCGTCCTTTCAAAAGCAACATTATTTGATACATGTATATAGTAATATGATAATTTCATGTGTGATTTAATTTTGTTGACACAGTTTTTGAAAACAAACAAATAAACAAAATTTAATCCACATTACAGTATTTAGCAACTACCTAATAATGGCTTTATAAGCAATGGTAATGTCAATGCTAGAAAAAATTTAATAAGATCATAAATAATTCAATCACATTACGTCTACGTAAAAAATTGCAGTTAACCTTAAAAATGCTTACAAGAGGCACATAGGCAACAGTGTTTGCTTCTCAAGCTTATATATCAATGTAAACCTTTGATCCCTTATTGTTTATTGTGACTTCACTTTATCCCTGCATGGCTTTTGTTACCAGTAATACCATGATACTTTGTGACATTGAGGCCCTGAATTCTTTGAGTTTGAGGCCTGTATAAGATGCCTGTGACATAAATTTTTCACCTGTGACGAGATCTGGACAGTAGGTTTTGAGTATTTTCATGCCCTCTGGGTCCTCCATGACTTTTGAGGGTCCTTGGTACAGACAATTCTGCTTTCCTGCAGTAGTTTCTCCACACTGTCCATACCAGATACACTGCCCACTCTCAGCCTGCAATAATAAAGCTTGCACATGAATGGTCTTGAAACTGCTCTTAAATGCACCATTATTTCTGTGAAGCTGGATTTTTTTTTAAATTTAAATGAATCCACTCAATACAAAATAATATGGATTCAAAAGTTATTTCTACGATACAATGAAACACAAAAATAAGTGAAAAAACAGAATGCAAAGTATATAATGCTCAACATCATAATGAATGAATCTCCCTACTTAGAAAAGTTATTAGGCTTGGGTATCAGATAGAAGACTCATGTATTGTGTATCATGATACTAAATTTGATACCCTGTAACCTTATGAAATAAAATACCCTCTGCTGAAATATGTGTAAAACTCTTGATTAATAGTCTACATGCTAATTACTTCATGGTCTGAGCTCTCGCAATTTGATGTACATCAATGAGCTAATATTTTTCAAAATAAAGTACTCATGTAAAATAACAAGTATTTGTTCACTGGGCATACTTAAATAATTTAGTTACTCAAGTGTTAAGTTAATAATTTTAAAGTTTTTTTTCATTAATTAAATTAGTATACCATTTCTAATTAATAGTACTAAAAAACAAGTACAATTAGTGATGTAGATGTACAGTGTACTAATTGCAACAATTTAGACTTCTCACGTGTATACGAGTTTGAGGTGCTTAACCGTATAACGTTTTGTCATCTACTTCAGATTCACATGGCCAATTAAAAAGTGTGTAGTGGTACTATTGTAAATTTGTAATCTATAAAGTTAGTTACATAGTCTTTTCCAATTTCTGCCTTGAAATTGGCAGCATATAAAATATTGTTTTATAAATGTAAATCAAGTATGGTGCACACAAAACAGGGCTGGCTCTTTAATACTTAAAATATTAAACAACATCTGAGTCTTGACTTCGAATAAAAAAAAACAATACTTTACAATTCTAAAGATTTGCATGTTCTTAAATATCACTTAAGTTAATAATTATTAAGTGTCAAAATCCAAACTTTTAAAACTTCCTTAAACTTTATGTAATAATAAACACTTTGAAATTCCTTTTACATAACATAACCATATAGTATGAACAATGAACATGATGAAAGGTAAATAATGCAGAAATGCAGTCCAGAATATGACCTAATAAACGGGGAACACATATATAATGTGGTACCAATGTTCACATATATACATGATATTCACATGTGACACTGTATTGATAGTTACAAACCCAGATAAATTAAGCTAATCATGAGAAAGTAACATTGCTCAGGTGAACAAAAGCCTGTTGAACTTATTTATAATCTTATCGAAAATATTTGTCTATCTTGACCAGATTATCTGATTAGGTCAATACTTATAATAACGATATTATATATATACATTACATGCATTGAATTTATGGCATAAATTTCTATTGCAAATGAAAGAAAGATTTCCTAAACTCAAATCTATATTGAAAAACATTAATCATATTCTATACTTAAATTTGTACTGCTGATACATGCATGTATTAGTATAACTTGTCAATGAAATGCAATTTTATAGAACCATCTACATCAACATGTCAATTAATTTGGATATTTCACAGAACTTGCAGTGATTCATTTTGCCCTGCGTATTGCGTAATTTACGCATTAAATTCATTAAATACCCACTGGTTTTTGTCCATTGCGTCCCGAATACGCATAAGTGATAACCCGCATAAAATAGAATCGAAGTTTCCAGTTTAATTTCTATTTTTATCGTTCATTTGTTTTTTCGGAACAACTGCAACACGTTTTAGCATACTTCATATTTCATTTGTCTTCTATAAATCATTTAAACAAAAGGCTTAAAGTATAAGATACGGTAAAATTACATTTAACAAGTGTTTTTAATTGTTTGATATGTCGTAATTAACACGCGCTCAGCCGCTGACACAGTATACGAAAGCTGATCATAAACCGTCCCGATTTTTAACAAAGAAAATATTAATAATCAAAGCAAATTATAAGGACAGTAAAAAATCAGTGATCTAACTGTAAAAACATTGCTTTGGAGTTGGAAGACACTTAATTGCCTGGAGGGGTGTTGGGAGATAATTATCAAGTGACCAGCGCACGTGTTTAAAACATTGGCTTCCTTTCATTGGTACGTAGAGAGGGTGTTTATGTTGCAGTGAATTTTCACTGAGTTATTTACAACCTAAAATATTTTTTTATTATTGTATTTAAAAAAAAAGACATTGCTTTGTCTGATTATTACGGAAGGAGTGAACGTCTAAAAATAACATCGGTAATGGCGGCCTACACGGAGAGTCGGGGAGACAATAAACATGCAGCTCAAATTAATTTTAACTTGCTTTTTCATGTAATTATAGTATCAAAAGGTTATGAAAATGACATTTTTAACAAGCATACATGTACTTTCCAACACCGAAGTTTATATTAAAATATGGCGATAAACAAAAGAAGTTACACATGTCTCTATATGTAATAATACGGTATGTACGTATGACAGCCATGTTTCACCTGAAAGAAAAACATATGAAAATCCCATTTTCATGTAAAGTATGCGCTCCTTTCTTACAGAAATTTATTTTAGGAAAAAGTGCGTATTATATTCCGCCAAATACGGTAACTGAAGAAAAAAACTTGGCTTGATATCACATTCATAGTTGTTAAAATTCTGACCCATTGATTTTGAGTTCTGACCCATTGCTTTCTGACAGAGGGGTACACTGTACCCATTCATTCAATTTTCAAAATGAATCACTGAACTTGGAACACAGGATTACCCCTGATATCCGATTCTCATTTATATATCTAAAAAGAAATAGTATAATAAATTTTAATGGTAAACGGTAACCATAGACAGATCTGAATTCTTAGGCAAAGAGTCCTGGCTGCAAGTATAAATATTGATGATACACTGTTCTTCTAAATTCATGAACAATGTTGAAGAGGAATACAATTAACTGGCTATCAGTAATTGATGAAGCAGGGATCCCCATTCTTGTTTAAAAAAAAAATTCCTTCAAAATTTCATGCACAATATATCTTGACTTGCAAAACACCAGGAAATAATTGTTTCCTTTTAGATTAAAAAAAGACAAGGATTAAAATTTCATTGTTTTTCTACTATGCACTTAATATCAATATATTCAATTGGGGAAAAAGATACCTTATCTGAATTGGGAAAGGGACCTTCTAACAGCCCCAGTTATAGAAAATTGACAGCCCTGTGACGAAAGATATATATATGCTGGTAAATAAATTTCATGGTTTTAAACCAGTCATATTTAGTATACGTCCAATAAACATTTTTAAACCATGCTTATCAAAACATCTTACTAGACTGTACAAATCATTGTTGTTTTTATATTTTGTGTGAAAATCTTTCTATTATAACTGTGGAAGTGTGTATAAATCACAGCTTTCTACTACCTTATTTGGACTAGTGGGTTAAGATAACCTTTTGGTTCATTCAGTAGAGCACTGGACTTGCATGCCAGAGGTGAGAGGTCCCAGTTCAATCCCAAGCAGAGGCACTTAAACTAGATAAACTATTTGAGTGTAACTTTTGGTGCCAACATTGGTACCCGGGTATTCTCTGGTGGGTGAAAGTTATTGTCCCTTAAACTTTGCCCCACAGACACTGAAACTCTGAAAGAGATGAGGACATCTCATTTTGATGAGGGGGACAATGTGTTAGCATGTGAATCACAGGTTCCTACTAGCTTAGGCCAGCAGGTCAACCCTTTAGCTCAATTGGTAGAGCACTAAACTGGCATGCCAGAGGCCCTGAGTTCAATCCCAACCAGGGGCACGTACATGTACACTTCTCTGTAATTGTTACACATATTTGAATGTAACGGCAAGTGAAATATGTTTGTGACATTAATTTATATTTGAAATACAGTGGACCCTCATTTATCCGGACACTTTGGTTCCCAGTCAATTTGTCCGGATATGTGAAGCATCCGGATATCTGAATCACCAGTTAAACAAGAGAAAATAACATTTGAAAATTTTGTTCCGATGAAAAATCGTCTGGATACTGAAGCATCCGGATATCTGGCGTCCGGATATCTGAGGGTTCACTGTATTTCAGAAATGAAAACTATAGTTTTCTAAGACAGTTTTATTCAATGTTTTAGTTTTGGCATGTCATGGTCCTCAATATAATTTTATAGTTTTCACTGAGATTTGGGAGGGGCACAATATGCAACCACATCCCAAACGGCCAAATAGACTCGGTCCTTGAGATCATGATAAGAATCTCTGTCAAGAGCCGATTGCCTGCACTTATTATTGTTGTTAGGAATATCATGATATATGTACAACCAAATAAGTACTTTGTTGTTATTTTTTCTGTCCCCTCCTTCTTGTTTCAACCACCTTAGTATTGACCTAACTCCTTGTAAATCTCATTATGGGGTATCGCCAATTCGCCATACACAGAATACTGTAATAATACGACAGTCAACACTGAAGAATAAGACAATTGGAAAAGTTCAAGAATAAAATGTTACTAAATGGTGGTCAAATGAAAGTGTAGGAATACCTACCTTTGTAATCGCAACTCCAGTCCCACAAAGACAAATCACTAAAAACTGAAAATATGCCAACATTTCGAATATTTTGCCCCCAAGAGCAACAGCAGCTTCTAGGTGAGTGACAGCAAACTAAGTGGAAGATAATTGTTTGAACTGAACCTTGGACCTACTGAGGCTAGTTACATAGTAACTCCAAACGCTGATTCAATCATGTCATGAGATGGTCCGACCAACAACCGGTCTTTCAAATTTAAGATTTTAATTTGTTACAAAACGACTCTTTCAAAATAGTCTAAAATTTATCTTTTTAAGTATCACTTTAAAATTAATATATTGTGATTATTTTTAAGTCAATATTAGTCTGATTAAATATTTTAAAGCGCTTATATTTTTAATATTACTTTTCTTCGTTTTTTGTAAATAGTATTCCTAAATTTACAGAACAAATATGGCTTACCCGTACGGACAGGTGCGTACTTCGAAGTGAAATAAATGGCAGTGTTTTCGACGGAACAGAGTTAAATTCATCGATAAGCAGATTTGTTTGCTTTTTATGTTATTTTAAATGTGATTGAACACTGCATTTTACATAAGCGTACAGAAAACATTGCCATTTACACCTTTTGGCTGTACTTTAAAATTTGTTGCTGCTGCTGATTCTCAAAGAACACCCCCCTCATGCTTAATGGCAATTTAGACATATGTATAAATGTATTCCTGCTTAAAGAAAGCATGTGTTTTATTTCATTTTTCAACCACCGGTAAAAATCTTCAGGTATTTCCTTGAAAAATTGTTTGATGGAGTATGTATGGTAAAATTATGTGACACTTTGTACCAGGAAGTTCACTTAAACAAGACACAATTGTTAATACTTACAGTACAATACTTAGCTGCATAACTGTAGCTCTCCGAAAAAGTATTTTGACAGACTGGAGAGCTACAGTGCCTCCCATTGAAAAAAACCTATATTTATTGTGCTCAAAAAGTTGCGCTTGGTTATGGATTAATTCTTCCAAATTCTTACCTTAATTCCAAAAAAAATTAGATTTCAAAAAAAATTGTACTCCTCTATCAAGTACTTTCGTAGTTGACATCTACACGAAGCGCATTGGGCCGAATTATCTAGCAAACCAAAAAAGGCTGTATAAATAGACGAAATTTTTGAATGATGATCTCGATTTCAGGGCCAGGAGGGCTATTAACAATTATAAGGAATGTGTTACAGTAAAACTAGTTTAGTACGAACACGGATATAGCGAATTCATGGATATAGCAAAGTTTTTCTCTGTCCCCGCCAAAATTCTTAACAATTCTTTGTAAAATTTTACAGTTATAATGAACTCAGATATAGAGAATTTACGGATATAGCGAACTGATTTTGAGTCCCGTAGAGGTTAAAAATAATGAAATTTATGTTCTTTATAACGATTTTTCAAAAATCTACAAATTAGATACATTGAACTGACTTAATATTTAGTAAGAATTTGCCAGTGAAATTTAATTCATAATAAAACCCTTAGTTAGCCAAGGTATGTTTGTAATAATTGATTCTCTACGATGTTCTGTAGTAATTCTTATAGGATAAAGTGCATATTGCGAATTCGCTAGATACCTTTATACGAATTCGTTATACGGATATAACGAATTACGGATATAGCGAATTAAATCCACAGGTCCCCAGGACTTCGCTATAACCGAGTTTTACTGTATTGTGGAAACGGTGAAAAAATATGTTAGGGACACACAGTTAGTAATATTTTGAGATGATAGTTTTAAAAACATTGAGAAATAAATCGATAAACAGCTCACTTTTTTGTGCACAATAAATATACAGTTTTTTCAATGGGTGGCACTGTAGCTCTCCGGTTTGTCAAAATATTTTTTCTGCAGCTGTACAATACTGTGTTCAGGTTAAAGACTAATTCAGATTGTAAAAGTCAGGTTTACTTCATTTAAAACTTTTTATAGCGAGAGCAACGAGCGTCACTAAGCTGCCTTTGTGAATTCCGCGTCATATGACGTCACAGTCTAGGCTGTGTCCTGTACAATTTGACGTTTGTAGAGGTGGATCAATAATCAAATGTAAGCTTGTGTAGGACTGCACTCCCCCCAACGGTCACAGCGTGAAACATTAGACCTAGCATGATCATGATGATAGTTTACTTTGTTAATCTTGTTTTAGTGAACTGGTACATTTGTATATACTATTTTTCAGGGACCACCAGGAGGAGGATATGGGGCACAGCCTCAGCCAGGATATGGGGCTCCCCCGGGACCAGGGTATGGGGCTCCAGGATTTGGAGGTCAGCCCCCACCCCCGGCTGGATTTGGAGCTGGAGGTTTGTTTATTTTATGATTTATAGAATAAACATGAACATGGTAAACATTTTAAAGTGAGAATGAGCTATTAATGTTGATTTCTTAATGACAATATCCTGTTTTACACAATCTGCTCTTGATGTAAATGTAGTCATAATCATATATAAATATATTTGATTCTAAGTTTATACATTTATAGGTTTTGTTGGTCAGCCTCAGATTGACCCCCAGGTCCAGCAGTGGTTTATGACCGTAGACTCTGACCGCAGTGGACGCATCACTGCACACGAGTTACAGCAGGCTCTGGTGAATGCCAACTGGTCACACTTCAACCCGGAAACCTGTAGATTAATGATAGGTAGGACATGGGTATACCTTGGTGCGGTGTCCACAGTGTTATAAAATATTTCTTTGGAGTTGTAAATTTCTCAAAAATTGAAAAATTGTGAACCAAGAGATAGCGCTTGTAGACATATGTGCAATGTATTTTATTACATGATCAAAATTATGTAGACCATACATGTATGTGTTTGGAATTTGATTGAATATATAAATAAGATTATTGTTCATAAAGAACAACATAGCATCATGAATCATAACAAGTTATTGTAAGAGTTGCTTCCATGTGTCTCAAAACATGTATTTTGTTCATGAATGTCAAACTATCAAATGTGAAAATAAATTTTATTTAATAGGTTTGTTTGACAAAGATATGAGTGGCCAAATTGAACTTCATGAATTCCAGGCCTTATGGAATTATATACAACAATGGAAAGGAGTTTTTGAACAGTTTGATCAAAACAGATCTGGAGCCATAGACTTTAATGAATTGTGTAATGGTTAGTAAATTGAGTTTTTCTTGTATAAATGAATGGTGAACCAAATGAATTACAGAATATGCTGTAAAAATCTTGGCAATGGATGTTTTTCATCTAGTCAAAGAAAGCAGTCTTATCAGATTTCTTACATATGCTCAAAAATACTGTAAAATCACTCATTTTCAGGGGGGTTTAATTTTCGTTGTTTTTGAAGTATGGAGAGACCTGCAAATTTATTACCACCACGAAATGGAAAATTTCATATGCATTACTACTAAACATTGTCCAACCACGAAATCAAATCCCCTCAAACTATAATTTTTTCTTCAAACCTGGAAAATTTGACCTCACGAAAATATGTGATTTCACAGTGTAACAGCATGTATGTTCCTTGTTAGGAGGACAAACTTGCAGATCAAATTGACAGAAGACAACAGTTGGTTTGAAAATGTATGTAGATTTAATTGAATATACCATAGGTCTGTCAACTGCAAACAAAATTAATAAAAAGGAATAATTATTTTTGTATTTCCACAGCATACAGACAAATGGGGTACAACCTAAGCCCCCAGTTTGCTCAGACAGTGGTTGCCAAGTTTGACATCATGGGTCGTAGGAGCCTTACGCTGGATAACTTCATTCAGTCCTGTGTAATGTTGAAGTCGCTGACTGATGCCTTCAGATCCCGGGATCCCTCGGGAACGGGAACAGTCAGGATGGGATACGAGGACTTTATGACTTTAGCTGTTTTTAACAAAGTATAGATAAAAACTAAGGTGTAGGAATTTACTCTTATTATTATTAACCAAATATTTATGATAATTAATTTGTTTCCTTCAAAATCTGTTATTCCGCTTTTTGTTGAAGTTTCCCTTACATTTTAGTCATTTATTTATGACCATCAACTCATGTCCTTCCTTGTTAAATCTTGAATCTTTTGTATTTGAAACATTGTTCTGTAAGTATTGGTTGGCACTGTTACATGTTTCATACTATGTATGAAGATTGTAATTATTATTTAAAAAATAATTTTTTGTTTTTTTCTGCATGATTATGTACAGAAATAATGCACAGGGAAAAACCATCTTCTTCCTTTTTACTTCAAATCAAATGTTAGATGTCAATAGTTGTATCAGAGGAAAGGTTGTTACAATGCAATTTTTAACATTTGATGTTCCACTCTGAAACATCCTTATGGAAAAACATCCTTCTCTTTAGTAGTTAGCCAAAATTAAGATTCCACTGTTTTTTTGCCGGAGTTTCAACTTCCTATAAAGATAGTTATTATCAGACAATGAATAACATTTTTTAACTTTAAGTTTAAGTTAATAAGTGTAACTAAAATATCTTTAATTCTATTTCTATTAACACATATAAAAAATGTATAATGCTTTTGTGCATTTGCATTTGACAGTTATGCTTAGTTGTATTACATAAATATATTAAAATGCCTGTTGAAATTATTATCTTTTTTATTAATTTTACCTCCTTGTAACTTATAGCTATCAAGGTGGGTACTAAATGCTTTTTGTGGCAATATGTAACTTTGTATTATTTTCTGGAAACATTGTGCTGACTACAGTCTAATAAAGTAGACATGTATGGATTTTACAATTATTTCTGTATATTTCATTTTTTTTTTATATGATTATTATTTTTAAAATTTTATAATATGTGTTGTCTATACATGTATTTTACAAAGTTTTCGAACACACAAATCAATTTTTTGAATAGCCCTTTGCTTGATACAATTTATTTTTTTTTCTTTTTAAATTCTGAAACAAATTGATAAGTATTCTGTTTAGGAATCTGTATGATCAGTCAAAATAAGAATATAAATGTAGTAAATCATTTGAAACATGATCTTTTCTTGTGATTTCTTTATTACTTGTTTATACCAAAATACTAATTATCTCCTCGCAACAGAGTTGTAGGTGATATAGTCAGGCAATCTTGTGTGTGTGTGTACATGTTTGCTTGAAGGTATATGTCTTGTGCAAAATGGAAAATGCATAATTTCCATTGGGATCCATGTCAAATGAACTCTTAATTAATTTTATAGATTTTGAGAGAAAATGCTATGCTTAGGGGTGCCCTTGTTGTAAATGATACATTTGTCACAACCTCCTAATTACATCAGTCATGTTGGTAACCATAGTTTACATTTAGGTATATTCATGTACCGTATTATTTGTGGGTGACTGGACAAAGGGAAATAATACCTACTCACTATAAAGTCTTACTGTAGATCACTATATTTTCGCGACACCTTATTTTCGCGAGAGAGTCATTGACTCTTTATTAGCCAGACATAATTTTCACGAATTGTGGTTATTTTTTGATATAATCTTAAGGAATACTATTATACGCGAGAATAAAATTTTCGCGAGCTCACTGTCTCGCGTAATTACGCGAAAATAAAGTTCTCGCGAATAAAAAGTGATTTACAGTATTTTATTGTAGTATTTGATTACAGTGTAAAACAAAAACAATGTAAAGCATGATTATAGATAATCACTTGAAGCATTGCAAAATTGACAGAGGCTATATGTGTATAGACCTTCATAAAGACCTATGTGGCTTACATGTATGTTTTTTTAACAAAATTTTGTGTTCAAACTGCATGTTAAATCAAAGAAACAGTCATGGTGAAACATACGTGTACATGTATATATACTCAAAGCCAAACACCCTTGAGGATCTACATTAGGAATTAGCCTAGAAATTTGGAAAGTTATACCCGACATATGCAGGGATCAATAAATAAGAGAAGATGTGATCTCGTGATTAAACAAAGTAGATGTCATACATGACATCTACTGTTAATTACAGCACACATGTTCTACATGTGTGCTGTAATTAACAGCATTATTTTGAGAGATGGTTATTTTATAGAATGCTGAGAAAATTTGTGGCATGTATTGTTCTAACCATCTCTTATTTAGTAGTTTGATATCCATCTGGTACAATTAATTTTTTCGTAGTGAAGAACACATTCTCTAGTCTCTACACATGTAAAGTAAAATGAATGGTTAGCGGGGATAAATGTTTGTGGATATAGCGGAACTCGCGAATGTTTTTCACACATGAATAAAAATTGGTTAACACTATTATCGATTAAAATGGTACAGGATATTTTGGATCACCCTGTATGTGATCAAGAATATTTGCAAACTGTGGTTCTAGAGAGAGGATACCGGTATATACTCTGAGAGAAAGCTTCTCAGAAGGAAGTGTACATGTAGCTAATCATATTTAAGGACATTAAACAGTCTTACTTCAGCAAAAGAATTTTCGTTGCCCGACCAAATTTTTGGAAATTTAATGCTGTAGGCAGGTTTTTTTTTATTGGCAGATAATGTGCCCAACTGAATAGCAGAGCAATAAATGAAAGGGGGAGAAAGGAGAAAATGAATTATTCCCCTTAACAATATTAGTTTATTGTGGTCAAGAGTCAAGACATTTGTTAGAAGAATTAACCCAAATACACTAATTAGTTAGTGAACACAGAACAAGTGTGTTGAATTATAATTTTTTATTCTTTTAAAAAGAATTGTGCAAAATCTCTTAGGCAGAGTTGTCATTCGTTACTCTCTTGGTGGATGTGTTGATGGAAAAATAGTGAGAATTGTGCGCACATAAATTTGTATTATTAATTCGTTGAAAGGGAGCAAAAATTCAAATATTTTGCATATTAATGATAACATTAATTCAATTACAGGGAAACCCTTTTAATAATGGCGGGGGTTTATTGAATTATCGCATTGTTGTCTTTTTTTTTATTCCGCGCATGAATTAAGTTGCCGATATAATTTATTTTAAAGGAGTCAATAAAAATAAAATGCGCACACAAATTCAGCCTATTTATTAACACTTTCAAAATATCAAAGTGCACAGCAATTTAGACAATGTTAAAGATTTGAAGAGATCGCTTTAAGGAAGTGGATTGGTCAACAAATCCATTTTCTCCACGTAAGACAATGGATGTTTTAGCTGTATAAATTAGTATTCTGTTTAGTGTTTTAAAAAACGCGTTTTAGCTATGATAGTTATATTTGTTTCAAAGATATTCCCGAGTTGTTTTTATTTATTTTGAGGGGAGGGAGGGACGATCCCCTTCCTTTTACCTTGTAGAGAGATATGTATGTATTTATCCACTGGAATCTAATGAGAGATAGCGTAAACACTGCATGAGAAAAAACTTTTTATGATTTTAGAATTTTTCAGTGTATTGTAAAATATTATTAAACTTAGAAAAGTTTGATTAATTTTTAATTATAAATGCATGAATCTACATCTAAAACATATAAAGAAAGGGGAAAACAATGGGGTTTAAATTTAACCAATGAATAAAAACAGTCATTGAAATATGAATGAACCAAGAGGAAATAGATTCCGTACAACCGTACCACCGAAGCGTGACGATTATACCCTTTATTCAAGTTGTCCATTCGAACATTCGTGGGTCTCGTGCCTACTCACCAGCCGATTACAAAAAGAGAGGTGAATTGGAAATAGTGAAAGTAAAATTAACAGGTTATGAAATGTCTCAGCAGATAAAGGTACGTTTAACTTTTTTTTCATGAACTATCAATCTAAAAATACCGCTTTTTACCTAACGAAAATATGCTTATTATTATCGTTGATAGAGATTTGAAAAAAAAAAAATGATTGCGAACATTTTTATATTAAGGGAAACCTTATGATTATTTTCATAATGATTACAACACATGAGTATATGATCGTTTATTTTATTTGGCTTTTTAAATGATCACTTCACGTTGTCTGTCTGTCTGCATATAAGCTCTCTCCTAAAGAATGGGAAAGGATCGTACATTTTGGTCGTGGTTTGCAACGATGTCATGGATACAATACCAAAATATCTATCATAAAAACACGACTGTCATTATGGAGTAAAATATTACTTCAAATTAAACCCCCTAAAAGTCAAATTCATCATCTGCTATTTTTTTAAAATATGTTTTATCTCTAGGTAGTAGGTATAGACCGAGAAAATTAGATCATGAATAACCTGTTCCATCATTGATTTTATTTTACAAGTTGTAAAATAAAAATTCAAAAGAAACTACTTTTACTTGTATCTCTAGGTAGTAGGTATAGACCGAGAAAATTAGATCATGAATAACCTGTTCCATCATTGATTTTATTTTACAAGTTGTAAAATAAAAATTCAAAAGAAACTACTTTTCTTTTCCTGAATCAGGAAAGGAAGTGGAGGGGAGGGGGGTTAATGCGATTGACTCCCGTAAAAAAAAATCGCAATTAAATTCTACTTCGAAACAATTAAAATTACCCCGTTAAAATTTGAAGAAAAAAAAGTAATGAAGGAATAAACATAAATTTATGTCTTTGGAAGGTGGATAAGATACTTGTTAGATAGACATTAAAAATGAGAATATCCAGATTTTTGAACGTCACATACATTGTGCACAAAATATACATGGAGTGACTTACTTAGTTAAAAGTTTTCTCTCTTCTTCTGTCTGCATTGAAATATTTTCAATGTTTTATTATTTTATTCAAGGAATGTCCGCGGACATGTACCACAGGAGTTTGCGTCATAGTACTGGCACTGTTAATCACAGGAATTAACACATTGACAAGGATAACATTAAATCCAGGGGAAACTTTTTCAGGTAAGACTCAGTGGAGTATCTTACATTTTGTACATGTAGTTTCTGAGTTTGTATGCCAATGTTTCTTTTTTAAAATGAGAGAGAGAGAGAGAGAGAGAGAGAGAGAGAGAGAGAGAGATCTCCAAATGTCAATAATCCGGAAATGTTATGCGAACAGATTATAGCTACTTGTAGAAATCTCATGGATTTTTTAGAAAATTACTAAATTATTATGCATTGTTATATTCGCACTGCAAAAACAGAGACTTTGTAAATTTTCTGTAGAGCTTCTTGGGGATTTGACCACAACAGAGACTTTAATTACCTTGGACTACGGAGGGGGGGGGGTGTATGCTGGCTCCAGTCCCCTTCAACTCCGGAAAGTATCTAGACTCAATCCCTTTGTAGATGTAGTAGTGTGTATAATATGCATACTTAATAAATAAGTGTTTTAAATTTAATGTAAATGAATTAAACTACCATAATAGATAAAAATATAAAAAGCTTGATCCGCTCCTTTATATCTTTAGTCCTACCTGTATATAGATAATTAGTTACCTTAGGGCAGTTCAAAGGTTTTGGAGTGTTATTGATTCTTATTGGTAGTTTGGTTGTGAAGTTGGATTTCATTGGTTTTATTCTTATGGTCATTGGTTTTACCGCCAAAAGCCACTGTTACATAGATAAAAAAAAGAAGCATAAACCAGTAAATTCTCAAATCACGGCACCAAAGCAGTGGATACTTCAAATTCTTGCAGTCTTAATTGTTGCTCCAACCCCCCTCCTCTCCCAAAAAAATACCCAAAGCGAAGCAAAACGCATCCAGACAACTTACGGAATGTGTATCTTTGATAGAAAAATAAAGCTTTTGTGATAGATAAAATAAACAAACTTGGTTATACCTATATATATGATATTTTTTCAGATACATCCCTTGAGTTTCCTTGGGTGTTCCAATGTAGTAACTGTTCACGATACATAAATACAACCGTGTGTGCTTCTAATAATGAAACTTTTCTTAGTGAGTGTCATTTGAAGGAGTATAATTGTCTCAACAACAAAAAGTTTCACGTCCTACATGTCGGAAAATGCAAGAAAAATGGTGAGTATATTGACAGGTTGCTATCCGTCTCCCTCCTAAATTTATTGCTATCTGTCTCCCTCCGTCGTCTGAGAATGCCGATGTGTGCTGCGTCAATTTATCCCATTTTCACATAGGGTATTTTC